AGCTCATTTTGTGTATGAAAGCATTCCACGTCATAATAAGTTGGTAAATAAATCAGCACACTGGTTTAACGTAAGTTTTAATTCCGTTCAATTACTGATCAATGTCATAAATCTGTAGTGCACCTCCCACAGTCCAAAGACATCCATTTGAGGGTTAATTGGCTGTAGGTGTATGTACATCCTCTCTCTATACGTTTCCACTCCAGCCTCAGACACATTAAAGGTACTTTCAGTAACCACTTTCTGCAAAATGTAGCTAAAACTTCAACCACCAGGGGGCATTGTTTACCAGTTTGTTTGCTTTTAAAAAAAATACATTTAGTTGTTGAATTTTCTCTTTTAGCCTTTATTATGTTTCCTTATGAGGTCTTTTAAATACATGTGTGATTAAATATTGTGGAACCTTTGAGGGAGAATTGAGGAAAATCTAACATCCACATCTTGATCTCTAAAGAGCTGCATTGGGTGTTTCGATTTAAATAACTGCTATAGGTAGTAGTTTTGTGGCATAATAAAATCTCTAGAGATCTCTCAGTGTGGGCAGCTGTGCGAAGAAGCTTCCAGGCGAAAGCAGAGCTGATGTTCCGATATGCTTTGAAGGTAAAGGATTGAACCACTGCAGTAAATCTAATTGACCACTAGATGGAGACAAATACAAGTTGCTTATCTGGGTTTGGATAAAAAATGTAATAAAAAATTTCTCACTGGATCTCTGATACAAAAGCATAATGAACTCAGTAGATGTTGAAGTTTATCTCAGCTTAAAACATCAACATTTTACAGACTTGTGATTAACAGGTATTTATATAATGAGCATGTCCTAATTAATCCTCATTTCTGACTCCAGTCGTGATCATAATTTAACTGGACTGAATGTTTGATTTAACTCATCAGGAACATGTTTTCGGAAGCCAAAAACCAAAGGGAGACGTGGCTGTCTTCTCATAGACTTCTACAGGATCAGAAGTCTTACAGTGTCTGATGAGTCGCTGCCCCCTGCAGGCCATTAGAGAAAATGTAGCTAGCTTCTCTTTCATGTCTGAGTTTTAAATTCATTTCCAAGGTGTAATAAAAAGTTGGCTTCATTCTCCTCTGTCCTTTTTGATGTGGTCATCCATGCTGTGAAGATCCTCACACTCCCTGCTCAGAACTCCTCTGTACACCTCGAATCGATGGTTGAGATCTTTCTGAGTGTGGATTTTGAACTTTGACCCTAACGCCCCGTCAGCTGAAGTGACTCCGTAGAAAACCCTACCGATCCGAGAGTGAACGAGGGCCATGGCACACATCACACAAGGTTCCCTCGTCACGTAAAGGTCGTACCCGGTGCAAATGTACGGCTGAGTGCCGTTCTCTATCTGGGCCTCCGTTTGAACTGAGCTCGCTGAAGTAAACCTGCAGGCGGGGTAACTGTCAAAACCATAAAACCCACCGCCCTGACTCCGAGCTACAAGGTCGATGACGACCATGACAGCGTGATGAAGAGGGTGCTTGCGTCTGCAGTCGTGGCTGACTGCAATGATGCTCTCCGTCTTTGGGTCGACCACCACAGCCCCGATGGCCTCCATCCCCGCCACGCCTCCTTCTCTGGCTGCAGTCACAGCGGACGCCATGTAGGCGTGTATCCTTTCCTTCTGATGGTGGCTGAAGAGCTCTCCTCTCAGGGCGACTGTCACCTGCTTGTCCTCGTGAAAGGACGTGGGCCAGTGTTGGCTCGCTAACTCAAACTGGGGTCGGGTCAAAGGGGCACGAGCGGGAACCTTAACCACAAAAGGCTCGCCCAACCCGTTGCAATTTATTCCACCTGAGGGCAGCAGAGAGTCAATGCTAACCACCTGCATTTTTGGCACATCACTGACGAGGCACACGAGGACTTCCAGGGGGTGGGGTCTCTCCCTGCACGGCCGCACCCTCTTGACGTGCTGAAGGCCGCTCAGCGGACAGAGGCTGTTCAATTCCCTGACGAGCCGAGACGTCTCCTTCTTGTCGAGGATGGGCGCAGCGTACACCTCCACCAGCTCGACATCCTGCGACTGCTCATCTGACAGGACTGGAAGGGCGACCCAGGAGTCGACATCACACGGCGAGCCTTTCCAGCGCTTCATCGGCGGCTCTGATCTCCCGGTATCGTCCTGTCAGCACATGACAAAACCTTCAGTTACTCATCAAACCTGGCTTCCAGCAGGGACGGCTCTCCCAGAAATCATGTTTGCAGGGTTTCCCTCCAACCTTCAATGTTTTAACCTTCTCAGTGTGGTGGGAGTGAAGATAGAGATATTGACATTTTTTTTCCCCATAAATCAAGCCATGTTTATTAAAAAAAAACTGCAAATCTTTATTTGATAAATAATTAAAATGAAGGTTATTATTATTGATTCAAAACCATCCTCCCAAGTTGAGCTTATGACAAATATAAATAACAGGGAAGTTGCACTTTAAAGTAAATATGTAAACACTGCCCCCTGGTGGACAACCTACATATGACATCATCTCCATTATGTAGTTTCTAACTAGGAAATACACCTGTATGCACGTGACAAATTAAAGGTACCGTGAGGGGTTTTGTATTTCTCTTATCTCTCGTTGATCAACAATAAAACATAAAAACTCAAACTGACGTTCATTCACGTTTCTTCATTTAATCAAAACTGTGTTTTTATGGATTCAAACCACCTCGAGTATCTCTGGGTCCACGTTACTCTGATCTCCAAAATGTTTCACTCATTCTGTTTAACTCCCTTTACGTGGTGGCGTAAACTTGAAGTCATGCTTTTATGATCAAGTGTTTCACACTGTTGTGGAGGAACTTTGACCCACCCTTTCTTTACAGCGTTGGCTCCAGTTCTCTGGTGTTTGCAGACATTCATTTATGCACAGACCTCTGACACTGCTCAGATGCAGCTTTGCTAACCTAAGCAGTGCTGCCATGTTCTTTTTAGAGAGAAAAGGCTTTCTCCAGGTAACCCTTCCAAACAAAGCATATTTCTTCAGCCTTGAACTTTAACCTTTAGCTGCCTGAAGCCGGTTGGGTCCGACATGGAGCTCTTGGATTTTTTTTTCTCTAAGTATTTCTCAGTCTGACCTTGGAGTGAATGTGTTGGGGTATCTACTCCTGGGAAGATTGTTGGATTGTGTTAACACACCTGAATGCTCCAGATGATAGTTATTCCGAATTCGTGTGGAAGCGATGAAGACATACTGAGTTTTCACAGCACTGTTTCTTCACTTTTGTTCAGTTTATGTTAAATAATGAGACGGTGTAATGTGTCATGTTTTGCTGCTCATCTATTTAAATCATTTTAAGACCTGCTGATACGTAAAACCACAGGAATGGCCGTGCATGTTTAATCGCTCTGTCCACTACTTCTAATGGAAGTTTTGCATGACCTGTGTGACTTTAAAGTTCAGCTCTTTGAGTATCCGGCCTCTGCTGGACTTGTAAACTGTGTCTCACGCCCATGCTGGCAGCACATGGCAGTGCATCACTTTACTAAGACAGACTAACAGACTGGTGGAGGTGTTTGTAAGCAAACCCACAGCACACACACCGCTTATGGTCGTATTTATTTTCATCTGTCACATAAACAAACATCTGATGAACTCCAAATAAATCATTCCAGGTGTGAAAGTGTATCAGATTACTTGATTAAAACATAAAACTTAAAGACTCAGTGGTGATCAGTTCTGGTCGTTTTACACACAGATGCTTAAATCCTTTTAATATTCACTTGGTGAATCCATCTGAACTAAAACTCCATCACTGTGCTGTAGTGTCAGCTCTATCGCTCTTCATCGCTTTCCCAGCACCAGCTTCGTCTTGATGACCTTGGGCACGTGCCGTATGGTCAGAGACACCCTGATGCCTCGGTTCAGCTCCTCACCCAGTTGCGCCCCGGCGGCAGACAGGTTCACCACCTTCTCGGTCAGCGTGTCCTGCTCGCGCCCCTGGATACCGTGAAGGAGGCGCTGGTACATTTCATCCTGCAGGATGAGAAGGCTTCGTGGCCTTACCAGAAGCGAGAACAGGAAGCGGCTCTCCGCTGTCTGCGGTGCGGCGCCCTCAGTGCTGCTGAGCGGCGTATAGAAGTCCAGCAGGGTGTGAGAGCCCAGGCTGATGGTGGTGACGGTGGGGTGGTACAGCGGACCATCCTCGTGGGGCATGATCCCCTCTCCTGGTTTATACTCATTCACCAGCACGTGATTGGCCGTTTTCCCACTGAACGTGCCCAGAGACGAAATCTTCTCACAGTACGTCTGGAGCCAATCGGGAAGCCGCTCTCCCAGCATGCCTTTGGGGTGTGGTAACCCTCCCCAGTTCTGGAGCCTCCGGCCCGACAACTGAGTCCACTTAGTCTTTGGAGACCTGTAGACCTGCTGGAGGAGGTACGACTCCTCGTCCTCAGATATGAAATCTGGAACACAATACGCTGTGGGCGGCGCTTCGCTTACGACAAACTGCTTCAACTCTTCCAAAATACATGCTGGGCGCTCCATGCCTCCTTAAGAAAGTTAACATGAAACTCATTAAAACCCAGAAAAAAATAAATAAAAATAATAAAGCAGTCTTTCTGTGGTTCACTAATATTTATATTAAATTAAACTTTTTTTTAAAAAAAAACCCTAAGTTTATTAAAATGAATTAAATACATTTATTTTATTTTAAAAAGGTACATTTTCAGTTATTTTTATACTAAATTAATGAGAAGTAATGAATACTCTGCTGCATTCCCATGTTTTTTCTCTAAAATTACAATTGAGATTTATTTTCCCCTTAGACTTAAACTTACTTTAAAATTCAGATTTTTATTCATAAAATGAATGAAATTAAAGTTGTAAACTTGTGAATTTTAATCTCTGAATTTCTGTCTATAGAGTTAGAAAAGCCTTTTTTTTTTTTTTAATCCGATGAATTTCCTCTCTGTGTCCACAGCCCATCATACACGGAGCTTCATTCAGACTGAATGATCATTAAAACCTCTCACTCACTCAACAGCAGGCTTTTGTTTGTTCTGCAGTTAAAAACAGAAAAATTCGAGAAAAACAAGAAAAAGAAACACGACGCTGCCTTTAAAGTCGCGGGTCACGCGAGCTCCAGTGTCGTAAAAACTTTTTTCTCGACATCCAAATCCGATGATTTTTGGTCAGCAAAAACCAACAACACCAAGCTTTAAAGTTAGTGTGCGTGTGTGTGTAATTGCTCGTTAAATTAAGTGCTAAAACGGCGCTGTGTGAGTTTATGACTCCGTGAAAGAAAGATAGATAAATAATAGTTTTATTTAAGTCAAATAAATTCTTATGAATATTGTGCCTTTGTAAAAGAATTCATACCTTTCACATTAATATCGATTACATTTTTATTTCTTGAATTATTTACCGCAAGACAGAAATCCGACATTCTGTGTGGCCCCAAAGGCAACGCAAAGGCAAGTTTACTGTACGGAAACGGGCGATTTTGAAAAGAATTCCGGGTTTAGAGGCTACTCGATACCTGCAGGAACTCTAAAAACGGCACACTGCGACGGAGAGCATGCAGAAGAACCTGATTTACCTGGTTAGACATAAATAATCTGATGAAAATTCCGTTTCTTCAGGTAAAATCCCAACAGCCCGACGCCATCCGCAATAACGTGTTTGTGCACCGAAATAAAATGTCCGGAAGAGAAAGAAGCGTCGACTTTTTGGACCTGTGCCTTATTTTTTCGAAATACGTTTTCTATTATTGAGTTTCTAGAAACGTTTTAAGTAGTATTAATGCCAAATTTGTTGATTCACCTTTTTGTTGTCAGTTTTGTGTTTTTAATCACAGAGTTTGGGGGTAGTCGGAATTATTTACATGTAGCACAGCGAGGCGAAGCAGGACAGAAACTTGGGTTAACCCACGTTTTCTGGACAGATACAGTTGTTTATCATGCTTCCTGAACTCTAAGAACTTATTCATGGCTTACCATTATGTTAGTTTAAAGTCTTGAGGAACTGCTGTGAAGTCACCCTGAGGTATTACCTGCCTGTCCTCACAGGTGTGACTAGTTCGGGAAGATGTTCCGCAGTAAAGTGAAGGCTCTGAGGCTGCTGCAGCTCGGATACACACTCCGTCACACTGCCTTCTGCTCTAGGCTGGTTCTGGGCATCGAGACCAGCTGTGATGACACGGGAGCGGCTGTGCTGGATGAGACTGGCGCCATACTGGGAGAGTCTCTGCATTCACAGAAGGAGGTGCATCTCAGGTAGGTGTCAGAGGTTAAGGTCACTGCTTGTTAGGGGCTGTAAAAAACTGGCAGCGATCGTCATAGATAAACAGAGTAACCTGACATGCTCTCAAACCTGCAGGACTGGAGGCATCATCCCTACCGTGGCCCAGCAGCTCCACAGGGAGAACATTGAGCGTGTGGTCCAGGAGGCTTTGGAGAGGAGTGGCGTGGCCCCAAGCCAGTTGGCCGCCGTCGCCACCACAGTGAAGCCCGGGCTGGCCCTGAGCTTGGGTGTCGGGCTTGAGTTCACTCGGCAGTTGGTGAGGCGGCATGACAAGCCATTCATCCCCATCCACCACATGGAGGCCCACGCCCTGACTGTGAGGATGCTCCAGCCCGTCAGCTTCCCCTTCCTGGTGCTGCTCGTGTCCGGAGGCCACTCACTCCTCGCTGTGGCCCAGGGAGTCGATGACTTCCTGCTTTTGGGTCACGCTCTGGATGAAGCTCCCGGAGATACTCTAGATAAAGTGAGACCGTAATGACATACAAAACTAATTTACATGTTTAGGATAGACTAGAATCCCGTTATTTGTAAGTCCCCTCTGTAAGGGCCTGTGGTCACTTTGTTAAGAAGTCCAAAATTTGAGACTAAAAACAGCGTTCATACACGACCCCTGATGTTCCAGGTGTGTCAGTGCAGCGCAGAGGGTGGTATTGACCTGTTAGTCCAGGGTGGCAGGAAGTGAAGGTGTGTGTCATGACCTTTACAAGCATTTCATCAAAGCGGGGCTGAGAGCTACAGGTCTGAGGTCATTAACCCAGCCTTTGTAAAGTTATCAAGGTGTCGTCCACATGATGAATTAGTTTTGTGACATTGCCACACACACCTGTGGGGACCAGTTGGCATGGCGACTGCAGACTGAGAAGTGTTAGAGACCCTGCTGTCTGACAGACTCAGATACAGGGAGACAGATTAGGATTTGGGATCCTGGAGAAGGAAGTCCACAAAATCAAAAGCACAAGAAGTTGAGAAAATCTTTCACTTCCAAAAAACAAAATCCTGATTTTTCATGTCCGTAGTGTGTTTTACATAAAAGTGATCCAGGATAGGGACCACTGGGGAGGCTGGGCTCAGGAAGGATCAATGAGAGAACCTTGAGTCCTTTCACAATAAGAGCAATACTGAAAATCAGACGAAAAATTTTTTTTCAGTCTTCATATATAACCATTGGGGTTATCTTTATCTCCCCAATGGTTATTCATATTCCATTAAATGATAGCTTTTTGTAATTTTACACATTTACTTCTTACAAAGAGACGTGCTGACAGATTTCTCAAGATATTTCATTGATTAAATGTGTAGTTACATTTCTGTATACTTCAGCAAGAGGTGTTTCACTGGTCTAGCCCACATGAGATCAAAGCAAGAGAGTTGCTGGAAGTTTGAGAAACATCAACAGCCTCAGTTCTTTATGCAGATGAAACTTTTTGTGACCTACAGGTGGCGAGACGTTTGTCCCTCGTCAAACACCCGCAGTGCTCCTCGCTGAGCGGAGGCCAGGCCATAGAGCTGCTCGCTCGGGACGGCGATAGGACGAAGTTCTCTTTCAGGACACCAATGGGACAAACGCACGACTGCTGCTTTTCCTTTGCTGGACTCAGAAATCAGATTACGATGACGATAATGAAAAAAGAAGCAGAGGAAGGTACGAGCCCCGTTTCCCCCATAACGCCTGCAGCAGCAATTCACCTCTGACTTTTAGGCTCTCCTCCCCTCCCTCTGTAGGTGTGGAAGAGGGGACACTGCTGAAATGTGTGAATGATATTGCAGCTGCCGCTCAGCACACCGTCGCCGCCCACCTGGCGAAGCGCACACACCGCGCCATCCTGTTCTGCAAGGCAAACGGCCTGCTGCCGCCCAGCAGCCCCACCTTGGTGAGTTTGCTGGGATATCCCCACCCACCTGCAGCCAGTCAGAAGAAAATTGTCTCAAAGAAGGATTATTTTGAACTGTGAATCATGCAAAGCTGAAATCTTTAGAATGGTTTTAAAGCTTCCTGAGCTTAAAGTGCTTTAACCTTAACTTTTCTTTCTATAGTCACATTCACCATTCAGTCTCAGGATCATTACTTATTATACCTTACCTTATTTTGTCTCATGTTCACTGGTGGATGTTCATATTAAACAAGATCTAAATTTCTGGTAATGAGGTCGGTTTCTGTACAAACGATCCTCGGGAGCCAAAGATTTCTTCCATAGATTTAATAAACATGTCTCTGTTTGTGCTGCTTTCTTATAATGTGTTCACAGTGAAAAGAATATAAAGTAAAACTAGTCCTTTACTTTACATTGATTTACGTTTAGGTGCTTTCCGGGGGAGTTGCGAGCAACCAGTACATCCGAAAAGCTCTGACGATTGTCACGGAGATGACCGGTCTGCATCTGATCTGCCCTCCTGCAAAGTTCTGCACTGACAACGGAGTGATGATTGCATGGTGCATTTACTGTCCTGTCAGCCAATCGGATTTAATTTTCTTAGATTAGGATGAGAAAAACATTTTCCTTAATTTTTCATTTTTAAAACTAGGAACGGCGTGGAGCGGCTGAGAGAAGGAAAAGGGATCCTGGCTCCAGATGTTGACGTTTGCTACGAGCCAAGGTCAGTTTATTTATTCACAAGGTTTATTTTATTGTTCTTTTAAGTTTTCTTTCTAAAGTGTGTGTCGTCTCCCCCCCCCCCCCGGTTAAATCGACACTGGCTCATCGATGATGTTGTTGCAGGGCCCCGCTGGGCGTTGACATCACAGCGGAGGTGAAGGCCGCCGCGATCAGGCTGCCACCCTTAAAGATGAAGATCCCAAGCTGATGTCATTGTCATTGTGATTTCCCAAAGCTGTGTATAACAGTACTGTATCTAAAAAGGACATTATACAGATATTTATTAATAAATATTTTTTCTGAAACTGGTTTTGTTAAAAAAAAAAAGTATTTCTTTTATTTATTAAATTTTTTTACTTTTAAATGTTTTCATATTTATTTATAAACGTTTCAGTAGCTAGATGGATATTTTTTGTCCTATTGATTTATTAGTGAGGTGTGTCTGTGAAGGTTCTCAGTCATCCAGGTCATCGTAGTCAAAGGAGCTTGCAAAGAGAAGCGTCTGGACTTCTTTAAGTTGCTTGAAGTCAAAGTAGTTCAAGCAACTTAAAGAAGTCCAGACGCTTCTCTTTGCAAGCTCCTTTGACTATTAGTGAGGTGGTTTTTTTATTTAGGATTTTGGCACTCTCAGTCCTCCATACTAAGGAGGCTGAATACAGATTTTCCTCCTCTTCGTTCATCTGTTCCCTCTGCATACACACAAACACAGATCTGACCACACCAAGACAAAAACACAATTTTATTATCAGTTATGTTCACTTGTGTCACAGTTCATTCTTTTACACACAGATGTTTACAGACGTGGTTTCTGAGAGAAACACTGCTGATCCGGGGAGCTGTGAGGCCCGGAGGCAGCCGGGATCCTCTGAGCTGTTTGTTCTTGTGTTCATGTTAAAAGACTTTATCACATGGCTGATTGCAGGACGTTGTGCAATCCTTCGGTTTTGGCTAAAAGTTGAATCAAAGTTCAGAAAACTTGAAGGAAAAAAACCTTTAAATGGCAAAATATATAGTGGTGTTTGCACATTTTCACAGGTGCTGCACATATTCTTACTGTCAGACTGAACTCGAGCTCGCTCAGCTTTACTTGTTGTCTGCTTCCTAAAGGAAAAATCTGACCTAAAACAACATTTGGAGCTCAGCCTATCCTACAAAGCAAGTAACTTTAGGGGAGGTTTTCAGCAGTTCACTTCTAGCATGAGTGCGCTGCCATGGTAACCTATGCTGCAGATATGAAATCACCACCTTCTGACCAATCAGTTCTCCTGGAAATCCGTCACCATTCCTAGAAGACCTCGGAGTGCAAACAGCAAGAGAGTCTCAAGTTTTTGTCTTTATCTGATGACCGTAAGTAAAAAATGGAAATTCTTGGAAGCAAATTTATTACTCGCCTTTCTGCCTGTTTGCTACAAACAATTCAGTCAACTTTATTGTTCTGAAAGCTTTAAGATAGTATGACAGGGCGGCTAAGCCATGCACACCTTAAAGGCTTGACCTTTTTGCCAGTTTGAATTTTTTTTCTATTTATTCTTTACTTGCTCTTAGAACATTAAACAGTGCAGGCTGCAAATGAAAGAATAAGGCTGAGACTGTGGTACGTGCATCCAAACAACTTAATTTAAAGGAATAACTAAATAATCTTCTGTCTTAATAGAACAGCTCTGAGTTTTCAGAATTTTACTACCATACGGCTCTTTTCTTCTCACACTCTGCTGCTGTCATGTTTCCATCGGCATTTGCTGCCAGTACACCTGTGCACGTTCACGAGTGGTCAAATCCTGGCTCTTTCATGTGAGCATACTCATACCTAGACTGATAAACCCCAGGATGACTTATCGAGACGATAGCCACCTAGCCTGATTAGGAAAAGATTGCTTCGTAGAAAAAGGCCCCAGAATTTTAATCCCATTTAGTGTTTCCATGTCACTACTGATTATTTCGGGGGCGTCTTTTACCCATTTTCCACCGGAAGCAGCCCTCAGATGTTTCCTCCTCAGCCCAAATTTCTGTTAGAAACCACAGACTGTATAGAAAATGGTCTGCAAGTGCCTTAAACCTGAATTTGTTTCAGCAGTCACCAGAGGGCGCTACCTGTGGTTTCACAAAGACAGGTCCTGTGAAATCATGGGCATGCTTCAGCTTTAACTTGTTTCTGGTCAAGAGCAGCCATTAGCCTTTTATAAATTTCAAAGACTATATTGGCAAATATGCAAAGAGCTCCAGGCTGATCACACTTGTGTGGGATTGTGCTGGTCCACCTGGTTTTTCAAGGACTGACCATTGATTATGGATCAGATTAAGATTTATGGGGTTTCCAAACTCTTGAGTCAACATTTTAAGCTGTAAAATGCACAGACTATCACCAAACTGAAGCTGATATTTCAGGATACTTTTAGTCCTTAAAAAAAAGCAGATGGACCAGCAGTAGCAACGGCTGATTTCAGAGTAGCTAAGTCCATCTTTTACACGGTCTAGAAACACTGGAATGAAGGGTACTCACACCAGTGACGATGTGGGCTGGTTCTCAAAGGCAGAAATGGCTTCACGTCAGTGGGAAACAGGTAACAAGTCACTGGCCCATTATTTCCACCGCAAACATTTTCCAAATCATTACAACGACAAAATGGGTCAAAATAACCGCTAAAGAGGAAGAAACCCCCTCACATGCTCGCTTCTGCAGGCCTGAATTTACATGTTCAAAAGGCTTTGCGGGAAAAACAGGAAACTTCCAGATGAAGAAGAAGTGGTGAGTCTGTTTGACGGAAAGTGACTGAAAAAGTGTACACATCTAACAGTGGAAGTGTGTGTGTGTGTGTATTCCCTTTAGTTTCCTCTCTAAATAACACACAAACTAATAAAACAAAACAAACAGTGCTAGAGCTCATCATGCTGATAAATGTTATACTCCTTCGCACTGATCGCGCCATCTCTGTCGCCGTCGTTCTTGTAGAAGATATCGTCTATAAGCTTCTCGTAGAAAGGGTCATCGCGCGGCTTCCCCCCTTTTTCATACTCCAGCTTCAAATATTCTTTCACCTGGAAACAGAGAAACACCTCAGAGTAAACTCTGAATTTTAATAACGCCGCCCTCACGCTGTGCCTGACAGGAAACGTATCACATATATATATGTTATAGAAACCTCAGCAGCTGGTTCTCCTGTTTTCTTTCAATATTACCCATCCAGACAACATGCGTGCTAGAAGCTTCTTGGTACTGCAGTTAATAATTTAGAGATAAAATAGAGATAATGAGCATAATATGCAACCTTTATTCTTTATGAGGCGACTATATGTGAAGGAGTGGAAATATGCACTATGATAAACATGCAAGGTACATAATCTCAGGTAGGGCTGGTGAAAACAGGTTGATGTGTTACTGCACTGGCAGGATTATTAGTCAGATTATCAGGTTTGGGATAATTTAAATTTAAACCACGAGATCAGCCTCTGCAGAAGTAAAGACGCGGGTTTATTTTAAGAAAACCATCACTTTCTGTTCCAGAATCACATGACAGGAACAAGATTGTGTTTGTGAGTTTGAATGAAACTGGAGACTGCAGGAGATTAGCCGATTCTAACGTAACGGGACATTTCGCCACAGAATCACATATTTTTACTCTGGACTGTAGATTTATGGCTCTGCATAGACTGTCCTGGTGTGAGAACTCAGCTGGCTGCACTCACCAGCCACTTTATTAGGTACAGTTGTACTTCTTGATCTATCAAATCAATCACAGTTGCATGTAGGCACGTACACATGGGGAAGAAAGGTGATTTCAGTGACTTTTAATGTGGTATGAATGTTTCTGAGTGTTTCAGAAACTGCTGATCTGCTGGGATCTTCCCGTACAGCCATCTCCAAATAACCTTGTTAATGTCTTAATTACTTAATTTTAGGAACAAAGGTTTTTTGGCCATTTTTTTTTTTTTTTTTTTGGTTGAACCCCAGTTTTTTGCCTTTAATGCCACACGTTTACCCACATACACCAGAGTGGTAGAGTCGTGTGCGAAAAGAGACCAACTAAGCACATTTCATGTAGAGCTGGATCCTGTTTTATTACATAACAATCATGTAGTTTGTTCTTTCAGTTTCGTGACTGGTATTACAGAGAAACAAATTTGTAGGAAGGTATTTTCTATGTATGTTTAAGCTGCACGCACACAGATGGACCAGGTGCTAATTTGTAACTCCTAATAACCCTGATTTTCAGCATAAAACAAGCCCATTCTGCTCGACTGCTTATCTGATTCTTAAGACATGATGACCCTGTTTCCAGGCTCTTGCCTTATTAATGTGCTGCAGTTTTTTGTCTTTTCACTTTTCTATTCAGTCATTTAGGACTGAAGGTGCATTCAGACCTGGAACTGAAGACTAATGTCCGGCTGAATAAGTGGAATTGGGATCATCTGTCATTGGATTACAGAGGACTTATTTTATGATAGAAAGCATGAGCTGAACCAACTGTGTCCTTGCTTCTATTGTAATTACCAGGTTATAAAATAAAGTTACCTCTGCCTTTGAGAGACTCTTGTCTTTATCGAGGTCCATCCTTCCAAAAGCCTCCATGGTGCGTGGTCCCTTGGACACAGAGAGGACCTCCACCTCAAAGACCACGGTGGCATTAGGAGGCACTGGACCTGTTTAAAACATCAACATTTTAAATGACCGATGATTCATTATCATTGAAGAAGTTTATCAGATTGGTGGCTCAGCTGCTGATTTCAGATTTTTGTGCCGAGTTGAATAAAACAGCAGATACCGACAGAGAAACATTAATTACTGAGTAACATGGTAGTGACTTTAATCAGTGCAAAATATAAAGGCATGAAAGTACGCAGTAGGTTTGGTGCATTGTTTGTACTATCAAGGAGAATAGGTGTGTGTTTAAAAATGTGATTTGAGAGCAAAACTATAGACGCTGCTCTGAAGCTTAAAGAAAAATATGTGTGTTGAAAATGTGAATCTAAAGGTTTACACAAGCCCCAAGAGACCAGAAGATTTTTTTAAACTGATCTTATGTAAAAATTCATGTACGGCTGCTTACGTCTGTTTTTACCCCATTAAATTACACAATGCAGAAAAAGTCTAAAGTGTCAAAACTGCAGTTCCCCTAATGTCCACTTGAAGCTCCAGCAGTGACTCAGTCTCCTTACACTTCTATGTTAAAATGTCCAGACTTTACAGCAGAAACAAACACGTTTACATCCTGATACAAAATCTGTTTTGGTCTCCATAGCTAATTCCCCCCTATGTCACAGCTCTGCAACACACAACTGCATCTTCAGCATGAGTAACTATGGACATTACAATCTGTTACAAAAGACACGATGTTAATGAAAGATGTGAGCATGATGGGACCAAGTATACTTGTGGAACTCTGTTTGCAAATCCAGGATGGTAACTTCAGGCACAGAAAGCCCTGCTACTACCATTTACAGCAATATTAACCCAAACCTTATAACCTCTGGCTCCACCCACTAAATTACATTAAGGCTAAGTTTGTATTATGTGAGCCGTCGCCTCTAATAGTAATTATCTGACAAATAATATGGCTTGTGTTGTAGTACAATCTTCCTCTTCAGTGTTTACAAAGTGAAATTATGTTTGTTTGTTTTTCATCAGTCTGTTCAGTAGCTGTTTGGGAAAAATCATAAGTCCATGTCCATGTTTTTGACCCAAACGTTTTATGGTTACATATTATTCTGCAGTATCTTTAGATTTTCTCACCTTATGCTTTAGATTACAAACCATTTCTCTTTTATTGCCTAATAAAGACACAAAGGTACCTTGGAAAATGACTGCCATTGGTTAAAATCAAACAAGATAAAATATGCTTTATACGAGCAAGAGAGTAAAAAAATATTAGATTGACATGCAGTTAATGTACAGAGAATAACAGAGGGTACAGAGAGAAGAATCGGTGAAGCTCTGTTTCAGTGTCTGTGGGTAATTATAAAGCCAACTAGTGCAGGGGGCAACTAAAACATGCACTCTAAGCAGAAGAAACATTTATTTCACACCCAAAGGGTGAAATACAACATCCCAGACTGAACACACCATTATCAGAGGACTGTAGTTAGTATTAATCAAAGAATCAACTATTACTCCTCCAAAAGTTCTCCAACACATACAAAGAAGAAACAAAGAGGAGACCTTTAAAGATCTTTGCATGCTTACAGGACATGCCATGTGGAGAAGAGTAGCAAACACTGCGAGGGATGTGATCTCCCTTCAGTTAAAGGGCTGTAAAAGAAGATAAGACAGCATGAAGGCAGACCTGCAACAATCAACTAATATCGCACAAAACAGAGTTGAGAAAACACAGCATATGTATGTATGTAATGAATAATAAAAAAGACAGATGCTGCTGTAGCTCATTTTTGAAGCAAACACTAAGATTTTCTACTCATTTACTTAAACTTAATTTCTTCAACGCTTTCAAATCACTGAAACAAAGTCAACTTGCAGAAACTCAAAGCTCATGGAAAACATTTTTATTTACATCTCAGGACTTTTTAGTTATTTGTTTAAAGAGGTGTCCACATTTTTACACAAGTTGTACTTCTCAACCTCTGAAACAGTCATATAAAGGCCTCTATGGGTCTTCACAGTCACTTCTTAATGGATTATTGGACCCAACAGAAGCACACAGACAGAAAATAAAACAGGACCGAGAACTGAGCCCTGGGGAACACCACAACAGGAAATGATAGAAGCAACTTAAAACTCAGACTGCTGGTAACCTTTTAAGGCCTTACCTTGAGTATAACTGAGTTTTCATGATAAAAACCTTAAAATCACATCCCCAACCTTGTGGGGAAATACATAATCAGCACACCTACCACCACCTAGATGTTTTTACCTTTGCCCTTTTCTCCAAATGCCAGGGTTGATGGGATGGTTAGTTTTCGCTTCTCTCCAGGACACATGCCCATCATCCCATCATCCAGTCCCTTAATGACTTGTCCCACACCCAAAACGAACCACTGAGGCTGTCCATCTTTGTCTGTACGACTGAAACAGAAATAAAAGCAGAGACAAAGAACATCAACAATCTTTGAATAAGTTTGACTAAACGTGCACTTTAATTTTGGTTGCTTTAAACTTAAAATGAGGAAGGTTTCCAATCCCTTTACACTTTAATATACTTAAAGCTTAAATAGAGCTTCAGCAATTTAAACACACATTAAAGAGGACTTTAGGATTAAGTATGCATTCATTACTCACTCCAAATTAACATCGGACTAACACATAACTCTGTTTTCAAAGCACTGACCTGCAGTAAAACTGGGAACCATCTTTGGCGAGGAACCCATCGTAGTGAGCATTGATCAGATCTCCTCTCTTGCTCCTTTGACTGCACTCCTCTGGTTTAAATAAAACTTCAGTCTCCACTTCTCCGTCCAGCTCCTCTTCAGCGGCCGAAACTGGCCACAGACTCAGCCCTGCGGACACAAACAGGCACACTGTGCAGCTCACTAACCTCCACATCATGCCGCTTTGCATTCGTGGCAACTTCTGAAGGTGACGTTTGAACACTGAGGAGGACGTATGAGACTTTGGGCCGGGATACCCTGAGTTCTGACTGCCAGGGGATTCAACCTGGGTTGGAGAAACTGCGCATGCTTTTCCTGACAGACTATACCGAGGGCAGAAATGCTCCTCCCAAAAGGCACTGGGGCTGCAGAATTATTACGTAAATAAAAACAAACAAATAAATAATGTGATGTTAATTCTGCATCCGAAATCTTACATTAAAGCTGTATATTGCTGTATAAAACTACAGAATACGTGCTCATTGCAAAACTGAGTGTTAGACACTTGATTCCCTGAATTTGCACATTTTGCTTAGTTTGCGCCTTTTTCGCGAATCCACTGAAATTTTGCCTGAAGAAAAGCAATGGCTCCACAGGCTCAATATGTATGATAATAATAATTATTTTATATAATAATTAAAATCACAAAATCACTCAAAATCACAATCATTAATTAAAATCTAATTATATAAGTATAATTTTAGTCATAATTGCTAATATGTAATAATCATTATTATTTTGTTATTGTTATTAATATTATTATATTATTATTGCGTACAGCACAATAATAATAAACTGAAATGCACACATCATCATCATCATTATTATTAGTAGTAGTAGTAGTAGTAGTAGTATATGCTTTTTTTTACACTGTGCCACATTGTATCATCTTCTCTTTCAAATCAGCCCTCTGCATCTCCTCCTTCACAACATCCCAACATCCATGAATCTTCTCTTTGAGCTTCCTCTTTTCCTGCCTGGAGTCTCCACATTCTTCCTCCATGCTTCAAACTGCTCAGCCTGATCTGTACCTCTGATGTACTCATTTCTAATCCTGTCCAACCCACTCAGTCACAGTGAAAACTTTAACATCACTGTCCTCATACTTGTCGTGCTCCACGCTCACATACTTCTTTGCCTCACGTCTGTAGAGGTCTTTTTTCTGCATGAAGTCATACTGCTGCTTGCAGATACTCAACCTTCTTATTAACATAGCTTGAATAACTATTTCCCATAACTTCATGGGAAATACTTGATCCTCTTCTAAGCTGCCCTCATGTCATCAACTTTATCCATCTGTAAGTCAACTTCCCTCTCTCCTGGACACCTTCAAACCTCCACAGATATGTCATCTGGACCAGCTACCTTTCCACTCTTCATCCTCTGCTAAGCTGCCCTCACATCCTCCTCACTAATCTTCTGCACTTCCTGATTCACAAACTGTCTTCCTCTCTCATTTTCTTCATTCACCATCTCCTCAAAGTACTCCTTCCATCATCTCAGCACACTCTCGTCACTCATTAGTAGATTTCTGTTAGGATTAATTACCCTAACCTGCTGCACGTCCTCTCCAGCTTCATATGCCCTGCCAATCACTACAAATCCTTTTCTCGCTCCTTAGCGTCCAGCCTCACATACAACTCATTATACGCCTTTTCCTTCGAATTCTCTCTTGTACTTTTTCATTCAACCACCAAGTCTCCTTTAATGATAATAACAACTACAAAACCACCATCACCAACAATAATAATAATAATGATAATGATACGGAATAATAAGGAATGAATGAATCTAATAACATTCTAATAAACCCGGTAAAAGCAGCGTAATTAAGCCACCTTTTCTCTGTAAACATGTTGTAAAAACTTAGTCATATATTGATAGGTCATATATCCGATGGTGCAGTTTTTAAAAAAAAAACACAGAAGAAGAATTGATAGGGTACGTCATAATTACTTAACTGTATTTCCACCAATAAAAAGCTATGGGGCGTGGCTGTTCCGCTCTATATACTTGTGGAAGCCGGTGTCTGTGAGTCATCGCCGCTCGGACAGACAACTTGCTTCGAATCGCTTTTCAGAAGCCTCGCAGATTCTCTCGGATTTATTAGGAATCACGAATTTCTCTCTCATTGCCCGACAGGATTGAGATGTTACATTTTAGGTCCTCGACAGTGCTGAAGGAGTTGTTTGAAGCCACCCTCAAGCGTCCCTTTCCCGTCTACCGAGAGAAGACCTGGTTGCCGACAGGCTCCCGCTGCTTCTGCTGCCTCGGCGCCACCTCCGTTGATGCCAGAGCCACATCTGCTCCTCTGAAGCTCCTCAATGCCGCCGCGCACCGCCCGGCTCTCCGCACCGCGCCCCGCGCCGCCTCTCTCCGCTCCTACTGCGTGAAAACCGAAGCCGAGGAGGTAGAGGAGCAGCTGAAGAAGGATGGAGCCGGCGGCGAAGCGGACAGCGACAAGTAGGTTTCAGTAAAATCCTTCTAGAAGATCTCCGGGTTGCCCGCTGCCATGCCATGACGTCGCATCTGGCGTCTGTGCGTGACGCGATCGGATGCTGCGACCGCTAACCGACGCGAACACTTTTTAATGACCGCATTAAATGTCCCTTTATTTAAAATGTAAATGTTTACTTATTTTTTAAATGTGATTTTTACAGGTTTAACCCTTCATTTAAGACATTTTAAATAAACTGTAATAAATAAAAAATAAGCTAGCTTGTAGCCTGTGTGGGACATCAGTGGCTCTCGGGCCATGTGCGACGTGTTCGCTCCACCGGCTTCGTTAAAGGTGGCGATAAAAATGTTCACGTCTTCAAATACTCCGCATCAGGGCACTTCCGCTCTACCGGGATTTTGAGTTGACCACGCCAATCTGTAAGTGTTGTCCTGTTAGCTGCCTGCCCCAGAGGAGATAATACTCAGCGGGAGCCAACAGTTGTGAAAGTGAAACAGCAGCAGGCCGTGAAGCAGAGGGTAAAAAGGTCCACACCGAGTCTTCAGGAGACCGGGTTCAGCTTCTCACTGAGCTACGATCATCCACATGCACGTGTTTTTATTTTAGTTTCGCTCGCTGTGACAAGGAGTGCTGCTGTGCTGGGGAGGAAGCAGAGCAGGTTCTAGTGGTTTCTACTGTGACCTTCACTAAGGAGGTCACATTTGGAGCGTTGCTGCTGCTGCTGCTGCTGCTCCACAGGTTATTTATGTTGAACTTAACAGACTCGATCAACTCCCTGTAGAAAACAACAACAACAACAACAACAACAAAACATGTATTTTAACATAAAACCATTACAGCATTGAATGAAGGACACATTATGCTGTTTATATTTATCCACATCCAGTTAATGACGCATTACAATAGTCCTGCCAATTTTTTTTCAGTTGATGGGCCTAGTTTTAGCGGACTATATCAAGTAGAAATAAAACCGTATCATTTAAAAATTAGATCTGCATTATGATTTTAGGATGGCTGTGACTCTAATAGGGCACAAAGTCTTCACTTCTGAGTATTTTAGGAAAGAAGAAAAGGTCATTTTAGTCATGTAAAGATGGGAAATACTGTAAAATGTTTAAACATATTTCACCTCAAATAAAGTACAAAAGAAATATTTTGTTTAAAAATTGGAATTACTAATGACGTCTCTGCAGTTTTCACTAGTTTGGACTTCCTTGTGTTGCCATATGTTTGACCTTACACAATACCAATGCCACAATTTACAAACTGATGAGAAATGCAGGAATTTTTGGTGTCTTTGGTAAAAATTCACAAGTTTTCCTACTAAGTAGCAGCCCTGCAGCTGTCATCAGATAAAAAAATGAAATCCTAATGATTGAGTCTTTTTTGGGGGGTTAAATCCACATCTGTGGCAGCCTCCAGCTGCCTGCCTGCAGCCACGTCGTTCCTTTTGCAGCGAGCTGGAAAAAATTCATGAGATATTTCCTGACCTCGAAATGAAGACTCACATGGACAGGGTGGCGTCACCACAGAGATGTACGATATTGGTTTTTGCTTTGCTAATGCACATGTTGCACTCCCAAGACACACTTCACATAATCCCTCAGGGTCAGCAGGTTTCCTGTCTGAAATAATGAAGCTTAATGAAAGCAACACAACATGCAGTTATTGCTCTAGCTTGTAGTCTTTGTTTCTCAGTGCTTTAGATAAGAGTAGGTACAGCTACTGCAGGAAACCCATCAGGGAACCTGTATCTAACACAGGCTGATGTGTTTCCTGGAGTAGCTGGTCAAACCAAGCTGTCATCACATGAAGAGTGGCTGAGATGTGGATATTTTTAGACTTGATGTCAGTATGTGACGGAGACTATCTCATTATTTTCTATGAAATCAAGTGTGATATGTTTATTAAAACAGTGTGATTAAAAAATAAAGCAAAAATATATAATTATTTGGTAGTGATAAGGTTTTACAGTATATCACAGCATTACTGCATGACTGAGACATTGCAGATGAATCATCTTGCATTAAATATTTGGCACGGGTGCGTTCACACCGAAGGTGAAGCAGGATTTCTCCTTCTGTTATTTGCATGAGTACAGCAGGGTTGCATACCCACGAATATTCAGCCAGTGAGGTAAGGAGGAAAAGCTAAGTCAGGCTGCAGTTGCACATCTTAAAAAGTCCTGTAATCGCACACTTTTCTCTGAAACCTCTTTTATTCCTGTCAATAGAAAACTGAAATTGAACCAGTCTGCTCCACCAGTCCTTCGGCTGCATCCGTAAGCCCCGCCCTCAGTGAAATGAAGCCACGAAATGAAGCAAAACAAGTCAAAATGTCTAAAAGTAGATGGCCAGCAGCTGCCTGATCTGAGCCTGTAGCTGCAGAAGCTTCACGTGATGGCAGCATCCATGTAAAACAATGGGCTAAATATTAATTGCATTTACCGGAGGTCTGGTTAGGTGTTACCCTGATTTTTGATGTTGGCAGATATATGAGCACTATGGTGTGTCTACTCTTGTGTGACTGGGTGTCCAGAGGGCAGCCGTCATTGCTAAAGCACTCCTGATGAAGCAGAGCACAGAAAGAAGACTACTCTTCAGCTCTTGTTTCCAGGAAGCTCTTGCATGCACTGGTGAGCAGTCATCCAATTGCAGATGGACTGAGCCATCTGTCCGTGAGGATTTTTACAGGGACAAATGCAGACAAACAAGGTGTTCAAGGCAGTATTCAGCCCTTACCCATCTACTAGTTAAACACCGTCTGGTGGATTTGCTCATTTAGTTCAGCTCATGTTTGCTGCTGACAACTGTAAGACTCGGGCACTTAAACCACCGAACTCTGTGAAATGGGGCTTGTTCATTCAGTCATCTGTGGACCAGTCCAAGGGTTTCAATAGGGCTTGACACTGCTGTCAGTTTTTCTGCTTAAGTTAGCTTTGAGTAAAGTAAAGATTCAGCCTTTATCTACTTCCTGCTGCTTTAAACTACAAGGTGAACCTGAAGTACTTGGAAAAGTGTATGAACAGAGACTTCAGGTGGCTGCTATCCAAACAAACCTGAGACTCCTGCATGTGCAGCCAGCACTGCAGTTCCTCTGATGTCCACTTGAGGCTCCAGCAGTAAATCAGTCCCCACAGACTCCCAATGTTAAAGTGTTTACAGCAGAAGTCCTGATGCTCTCTGTGGAGGTTACTATGTAGTACTATTTGACAGGTTTCTCTGTGGGAAGGATTTAGCTTTACTGCAGTTGTACACAAATACAAATACACACCACCAAATGACAATGGAAATCTGCACGAAACAAAGAGTTAAATATGGTACAACCAGAATTTTAAACTCATGATCTAAGATGACTTAAAACATCCAGAAGCAGGTTTAGGTAGAAGTAACTGCTTCCTCCTTTATTGATTAGCATTATCAGTGATATCAGCTCTTAAAGATAAAGTTGAGAGGCTTGTGTCAGTTATGTGAGCTTGATTGAAAGCATCCTTATGTTCAATAATTCAGTCTGGTATGGTAACCTGACTGGGGGAATTAAGAACAAACTGAACAGGATTGTTAGAGCTGCTGGAAAAATTACTGGTTGACAACAAATTTCATTGGTTAAGCTGCATCATCAGGCTGTTTTAAGGAAAGCCCAGCCTATTTTTGATGACCATGAACACCCTCTTCATTCTGAATTTGAATTAATTGCCTCAGGATAATGGTTCAGGACACTTTTAGCTAGTAAAAAGGTGTATAAGGGATCATTTATGCCAATAGCGATAATTAGATGCTGTGATGTATATTGAACACTAATGTTGAAACTCGAGAAACCAATGAGCGGCGTAACAGTGGCTAGATCCATGTCGATGTCCAGTCTGTGGTCACATCCTGTTTAAACCTCTTCTGTGATGGATGCTCTGGTAGATGACTTGAGAATCCCAAGTGGAGATTTATTAGCTTTGATAAATGAATGAATTCAAAAGCTAAATGGGCCTCATCATGACTAATGAACCCACACTGATGTGTGGAGTTTAATTACATGAAGCCGCCCTCGTGTTTTCTGCCGGCTCTGCACAAAATGCCGCCATGTGGCTGCTGCAAGTTTCAGAGCAGAAAGATCTCAGTGCAAACCCCTCCTCCACAGAGTCTGAATGACTGCTCAGCAGCGTGAAACACATCAGAGGGCAGGTTGTGCTTAAGAGTGTCTCAGATTACCACATGTCAGAGTGGAGAATTTATCTTAGATGCATATCGCATGCAAGTTTCCTTTCGACTGTGTGCTGTTCTTATTGTTGCTGCGCGTGCAGAGGCAGATGTCGGGTCAATAAATCTTTTGAATCATGCATGCCCGACTGACGGCATTTCAGTCAATCTGGGTGTGTTTGCACACGTTTGGCTGTCGTTACCTCGGCTGAATGTGGAGTGTTTACTCTGTGGAGAACAGGAAGAGTTGAGAGGAAGGCAGGGAGGAGCGCAGGGTGAATCCTGGGATTTTAAATGGTGATGTGGCTGTTGGCAGAGCTAAATCTAGTCTGTGCAGTGCAAAGTTTTGGTGGTTCATTTATTTATTTCCAGGTTAAATTTGTTGGTGTCTTGAAAAAAATCCAGATGTTTGAACGCTTCTCTGTGCCGAGCTAACTTTTCTCCTCTGCTGCGGTGTCATCCCGGCGTGTGAACGAGCCACAGTGTTGGTTTTATTAATCCAAGAGCCTCCGAGGGCTGGACGGGACCAAAGACGGGAGAATTTCTGGAATTTAGGTCTGATCCAGACACAACCACCAAACCTGTGTGCAGCGGTCACGTAGTTTGGGGGTTTATGTAATTATAGATGCTTCTATTGCAACATTATTTAAGTGGAGACAGTGTACACTGTTTAATGCATTCACTCAATTCAGTGAATAAGGAAAAAGTATAAATGTGCATGGACTTAACCGTTGCACCAGAATATGGCAGCACATACACACAAGGACACACTCACCAGACAGTTTATTAGATGCACCTTGTTAAAACTGGATTTGCCCACTTTTGCCCTCAGATATAATTTCACAATATCACAGCACAAATTCAACAAGTTGCTGGAAACATTGCTCAGGAATTTTGCTGAGCAATGTTGCTGCAGATTCATGATGTCAGTCTGCCATTCCATCATGTCCCAAATATGCTCTATTGGATTGAGATGTACCAAATATTCCTCTAAAGCGCGTCTTCTCTTCCTTCCAAAACCATTTAAGACAAGATAAGAAGAACTTAATTTATCCCGAGGGAAATTCTTTTGTCATACACATGCACAATGCACCAAGAGAGACAGGAACAGAGTAATAAGATATACAATATGTACAATAGAATACAAGTATACAGTAATATGCATTAGGATAGTGCAAAATATAATATCGAATAACTGTAGCAAGTAACAGTATAACTATATCCTGAAAAAATAAATAGCTTAGCTTAGCTATCAGTGCAGGTGATTGTAAAAGTGACATAGTTTTGTGCAAATGGATACAAGAGTAGCAGCATATGATGGGGAGATGAAACAAACATTCAATGAAAAAACTGTTGGGTGATATTGCACGGTCTGAATGGGAACAGAATAGCTTTGTTATTAATCCTCAGGAAAATCACCTACAGAGTGAGGAAGAGTTGTATAATTTCGGGGCAATGAGTCTTTTGCTGCGTGTGCTCCGATGTCCATCATGGAGGCGTGCATGGGGTGGGAGGGGTTGTCCATGATACAAAGAAGCTTTTTAGCATTCTCCTCTCAGACACCTCCTCTAGGTTCTCCAGTCTGACACCCAGGACAGAACCAGCCTTTTTAATCGTTTGTTCAGCCTGTTGGCATCGGCTGTCTTCACCCCACTCCCCAGCACAGCTGCAAAGAACACAACACTCTCTACCACAGAGTGATAGAACGTTGTCAGCATTTTCCTACAAACATTAAACGACCTGAGCCGCCAAAATAGGAAAGTAATTTTCAACTGTAGAGAGCATGTTAGACAGGCTGCCATCCGAGACGGCGCCGGAAGTATCAATTTAAACTTTGTCTCTGATACAAACAGTCATATTGTTTATAGTACATCTGTCATCTCATCTCCTGATGAATCATCATCATTGCTGTTTCATTTACATCTATAAAAGGATAGACTCAGTAATGTGGCGTTTTATAAAGAGTAAAGCCGTTTTTCGGATTCACTGTATAAACAAACACACACACCTTTTGTCACTAACGCTTGGCCTGCTTATTTCTATTAGATCCGTCACTAATGTGTAAATGGCTGTATCAACAGCCAAAGATAAGCTCTGTGTTTACACTGGCTTGAAAAGTGAGAATACGGTGTAGTGTGGTTTGTGTTAAAGGGCGATTCTGCTGTGTGTCAACGACCCTGAGAGGCTGCAGTTACTTTATATCAGAGCTCGTGTGTAAAGTGCTTTTAGGCGACGATACTGCTTTGGGGACTTAATCATTGCCTCCTTTCTGTCTTTTCTTTCTATCCCAGGAGAAGAAACGCAGGGATTCTCCCGAGTTTGGAGGATTTGCTTTTCTACACAGTGGCCGAAGGTCAAGAGACGATTCCTGCTCACAAATTTCTCACAGTAAGTCCTTCAGATTCAGCTTGGTCACATACATTCAGAGTTATTATGGTGCACTGCAACTGGGTGTTAGGAGACATGTTAGTTAATTGAAATAAATAAATTAAAACATAAAAACTAGAAACCTGCTGGTTGGCTGTAAACTGACATTTTTCACTCCCAGTATTCATGTGGATATTTCATCCAAACAGTTTTGACTTCTGTGTTAAAAATGTGAAAAATATTCACCAAAACTTCTTTGTTTAATTAATTTTAGGCACTGAAAGCCACGGGGCTTCGTTCCGGAGATCCACGACTGAAGGAGTGCATGGAAACACTGAAAGAAACTCTAAAGAAGACTTCAGATGGCGTTACACTGGACAGGCACCTTTTCAAGAAGTGAGGCTGCTCGTTATGGTGTTATTTATTTTTTATCTCCACCTTTTTCTTCATTTTTTCAAGGAAACTGCACTGACAGCAGCCTCAAAAAGCATTCAGCACATGTTGATGGTCGTGTGTTATTAATAAGCAAATTCAAGTATTTGAATTTCCTTATTATATGAGTACAAAAATATATTCATCAAGTGTGAAGTAGGCAGTTGATTGTGCAGAATTAGTTTAGCTTTTCATTCACAGGGCCTGCTCGATCAGTTATTTAACGCTATCAGTTACTCACTTTAAAGCATTCATTTTTCTTCTTTTTTTTTTTAAAAAAAAAAGGATTTCCTTAAAATTAACATATTTAGCAATAATTTGCTGCAGTGAGTGAAAGCCTTCATTTCATTGTAGCATGAGTGAAAATTACGTTTTCTCCGGCTTTCAGGAGGGGTGAAAGCACACCGCTGTAAATAAGGTGGTGCGCTTGATTTGTAACCCAAAGTGAACAGAATGTGAAATTGTGACTGTTCTTTGGTCTTTCTAATTGTCAGCCAGAAATTACTGAACATTTTCTTCATGCTTGCAAGCAGCATTAGAAAAACAAGGGAGTTTTTCATTCTCATTCTCGAGTGAGCTACTGTCACCGATGACATATTACCTACTTCAAAGTAGGAATATATTGAAAGAAGGCGCCAGGAGCAGCAATAACAGTGACACAGCACAAGTAAAATGTGAGCACAAAAGTAGCACAGGCAGTGTTTTCCCTGGAAATTTTAAGTAAAAGTAAAAAATAACTGCTTAACAATAACTGAAATAACTTAACCCTGTAACTCGTCAGGTGCTACACAACATTGTCACATAGTGAAAGTGAAAATATTTTCTATCAGGGACAGTTTATTTTGGGTTGAGCTTTTTAAAGGTACAGAGTTAGTATTTTTTTTAAGTACTCATAGTATAAATATATACAGATATGTATTAATGTGCAAATTATGTCTTAATTGATGTGTTTCTTAATTGATGTGTTTCATAAACTTACATTTAATCCATTAAAAATATAGGAATGGGTTTGTGGTTTGTGGAAGCCGCCATGTTCCTCCACTATATTTAAATTCAGTGGCTGGGGAGTATATCAAGGTGGAGGAGGAGAGAGGTCGTAGGCATTCATGTGCTCGTATAGCTCTTTAATTCCTGCCTGCACTTTCAGACTCAAGATATGAAGCATCTTAACTATGTGTTGTTGGGGAAGGGGTCCCATTCGCCAAAGAAACAAAAGCACAAAGGAAACATAACACCGCCAGCATCTTAATAAAATGTTGTCCTCTTCCTCCTCACCTCAAACTCATCTCCTGAAGTCACGTCACTAACACACAAAACGTGCGATGTATGGAACAGCCCTCGTTTGTAAGATTTGGGGGTTTGATTCAAACAAAATTGTCAGTTAAACTGATCCATCCCAGCTGGCGCTGCTGCTTAGCTTTGGTTACTTCCTTCATGGTTTTACAGTGTGTGAAATCTCTCATTCATCAGTGTGTGCGCTCATGTTGGATCAGGCTCCTTCCAGAACAAAATGAGCTGCTGATCAAACTGTTCTGATGAAGCTTCTTCATCAAACACGTCACAAAAGTTTGTCAGACTTCAGGGTTGCAAACTTTACCTCCAGTTGCATGCAGTCCCGATGTTTTAGCATGCTTTCTGTGATTTATTCATCAGGTGTGTCCAGAGCAACATTGTCCTGCTCACTCAGGCCTTCCGCAAGAAGTTCGTCATCCCAGACTTCCAGTCCTTCACCTCCCATATTGATGAGCTGTATGAGAATGCCAAAAATCTCACTGGAGGACAGGTGTGTCCTTAGATCCATGGATTTTTCTTTCTCTCTGCATCATGGTTATAATTTAGCCATTACCATCAGTCTCTTCTCAGGTGCAGTCGAAAGTTTGGATCAGTCGAGCCTCGGAGGGAAAAATCTGCCCTCAGACAAGTTAAAGGGATCTTTGAGGCCGCTGTGAGCTAGCTGTCACTTTCGCAGAAGAGTGCAGGATTTTCACTGGCAGCATATTTCTGTTTGCGTCATCTGTTTGGCGCTCGCTGTGAAAACGTTCAGGCATTCAAAACAAAGTCAGCAAAGTCATAAAAAGGAGAAATATCGGCTAATATCCCTAAATTAAACGGAAAACTAACAATCTAATAGAGGGCTGTTTACTCCAGCAGGGTTGTAGGAGGGAGGATGTTTGACCTGTTAAACTAAAACAATTTTTAAAAAAGCAGAGGCGAAATTAGTGGCTGTGTTTAGTCAGTTTGCAAACATCCATCTATCAGAAATACAGACTCAGCCCTGGTTATAGTGGTCTGTATTTATAAGGTGTCACATCAGATAAATGACCCGTTCCTTGTTCCTTTGAACAAAGAGGAAATAATCACTAACAAAAGAAAGACTTAAATAAAATATCATCCTAAATTTAAACATCAGTATCAATTCACAATTTCAGTCGCTGCTTCCCTAGCTGTGTTTTCCTGTTTGTAAAAGTCTTCTCTGTAGAAAAATTGCGGCTTCTAAGCCAAACTGGTGCTCTGCTAGACAAGATGAAGACTTTCTTTTTATTTGATAAGAATCTGATCTGATGTTTCCAGCTCATGTTTTTATTCCTGGACTCTTCTAGAGTAGTTTTGCATGATTATTAGTTTAAAGCGATCCTTATATATCTTATATTGGGCTTCTGTGCTAACCTGAAACATTTAAGCCAAGAGTAGAAAGAACTATTTAAAACGGACTCTTTAGAGCTTTTAACTCACAGAAACTACAGGTGTTTGCCGTGTTTAATATGAAACTGCTTTTAAAAGGGGCCTTGTTAGTCTGAATAATAAGAGTGCAGGAAGTGAGCCACTGTCATGATGGTAGCTGAAGATAAATTAGCATGTTGTCCTAATTTAACTTAATTTGAATGACCGAGGGTGGATTCTTCCTTCTGAGGTTTGTTATTGTGTATTACCAGCTCTGTGTGTGTGCTGTGTGCTGAAGCCTGAGCCTCTGCAGACGTCAGCAGTGTAAGGTGACCTGCCTCCTCTCTCACCTGCCTGCCCTCTCTTTCAGGTTGCAGACTACATTCCTCAGCTGGCCAAGTTCAGCCCCGACCTGTGGGCGGTTTCTCTGTGCACGGTGGACGGGCAGAGGTGAGACGCTGGTAGCACATTAATACTTAATGTTCGCTTAATGGTTCTCACACACTGTTGCTGGTTAAATAATAACACAATAATGTTCCAGGAGTGAAGTGAGGAACGCTAACAGGACAGTTTTTACGCATTGTTTTTTTATTAAAACCTCAGGAAACCTGGTTAATGATTCTGAGATGGTGCTGTGTTTTACTCTTTCACCTTCATCTTATCTTAAGATTTTTTAAGACCTAAAGAAAGAAGAAGAAACAGAAGTTTCCACAGCAGATCGGTAAATTCTAACTGCTGTTTTTTGATTGGATTTACCTGTTGATATGCAGTCCTGCACTTAATTGTGGTCACGAGCTGTACAAAGTGACTGAATGAATAAGGTCAAGGATGCAAATACCCGAAATCCTAACATCCTTACTGGAGTCATACTGGGTTAGAATTAGTTGTTAGAGTTGGTGGCACAACCCAAAGAATAGTGATGGTGTTACCTTTGATGTAGTTGCTTTGCAGGCGGGGACTAGGCCTGTGATGGCGATTAAAACACCAGTAAGATGGAGTCAGACTGTTATCAGGTTGCAGTTAAACAAAGTCAAGTTGGAGTTTCATGCAAACTGTTTTTGATAAAATGAACTTTAAATCAATGAAAATCGCAAATCTGTTGGTGTCTGCAAAATCAGAAATCAGAAATTCACATTATTTATTTACATTTAGATTCCAGCCAGAACCTCAGAGATCTGAAACGGAATTTCTTCCACAAATAGCGACAAAGCTGCTAAAGGACAGCAATTTAACTGCAGAATGACACCGAACGCTCTTACACAGGAACGTAATCAGAAAACAAGCAGCTGAGTCGAGTTCAGTTGCTTGTATATATGCTCATCTCCAAAGAGATGCTGACATGTTGAGCTCATCGCACAGACTGATTTAGATGAATTGCAACTTGTTGGTAATCTGCGTTTATAAAGTCAACAGCAGTTATCTGCAAGTCTTTACCAATCTGTGAGAGAATGGTTGCTAGGAGACAAGTTGCAGCCCACCAGGGCGACCTATGCAATCACCTTTATGCTCAAACACGGTCACCCAGAGGTTAACTCTGTTGGACAATTAATCTTCAATTGGCATAGCTCCCTGCAGCAGGTCATTGACAGCAGAAATAAATCATTACAGTCACCAGGCAACCGCAGAAAAAAAATTAAGGTGTTATATTACATTATACGTTATAGTACCTGTTTTAGTGCAGTAATCTTTGTGAAGGTCAGTGTTTATATTTCAGAGAAACATTAGATTAACCAGTTTGTTTGTTTTTTAATTATTGTATGGCGGTCCTGGTTCAAGCTGGTTAAAACTGTTGATTTGATCCCACTTGTATTTCCCAGAAAAGACAAAACACGTGTAAAGAAATAACCATTTCTCAGTAACTATGTCAGGAGGCGTTCTGATCACCCTGTTCTCTGATTAGTGCTTGTAAACTTTCATAAAAGTTTGTTTAACAAACCTTGACAGTTGTAAAGATAACGGTTTTGTTTTTACACAGTGTTACTTTAGTTTATCGTGCCTTTCCTACAAATTGTGAAACACTCACTGTTTTCATGTGTCTGTTCTGGCTTCTTCTTGTCTCTAATCACTGAACCCGCAGCCTGCGGCCTGCTCTGATAACGTCCTATCTTTATGTTTTTGTTGCAGACATACGGTGGGAGACACTAAGGTCCCCTTCTGCATGCAGTCTTGTGTGAAGCCTCTGAAGTATGCCGTCGCCGTGCACGACCACAGCACGGAGTACGTGCACAGTTTCATCGGGAAGGAGCCCAGCGGCCTCCGCTTCAACAAGCTCTTCCTGAATGAAGATGGTGAGTTGTCTTGGACTTTTTATTAAACCTTGTCCTCCAAGTAAAGCGATGAAGAGCTAGTGCAGGGTACAGGAAGTTGGCGGAAGACTTAAGTGGTAGATATGATGCGAGGGTCAGATGTTCTTAAATCACAATGAGTCAGAAATCCAGCGAAGCAGCCCCCTTGCCTGGCCACATGTCTTGGCACTCTACCTTTTTGTAGGGTTAAAAACATGCACAGGGGGTCAACATAGGACGTGCGCTTGCATCTCACTGCAATGCTTGATGGGGGAGGCTATCACGGCCTGCCATCGCTGCTCAGCTAGCTGTAGCATTGGTTAGAACGAGTGTGAGAGCTGTGAGTAGTCAGATGCATTGTTGGAGAACACGTGGTTGGGTTGTTCAAAAATGGGCATTTTGAGAGGAAATGCCAGAATCCCCAGGCTGAGGCTCACACTGCAGACATGTCATGGTCACTTCCTGTGTTCTCCCGCCTTCTGCCAGGGCAGCCATGCAAGGGGATAATGTTGTGTAAGCAGATCACATGACCACAAGGAAATTCAGGTGATGTAAGCGTTCAAGCTCTTTCAGAGATCTGAGGGAGGAAAGTGCTGGATTTATTTTTCACTATGTCCCTGTCCACGCCCACGCCTCCACACACTCACACAACACTGTAAACACTGCACTCCTGTACAGTAGTAACAACAATAAGTTTTAAACTTGTCCATACATACAGATGGTTCTCACTGGGCTGTGTGATGTACACAGAGTCCTGACGGTTAGAGTTAGATCATCAGCAGCATACCACAGATACAGCAGCAAGTTGCAACACACTTTGTCAGCCCACCAGCACATTCCTGCATTTACAGCTACACAAACATCAACAAGCGGCCAGTTGCCATCAAACAGTCAGGTTGAAAGTTACACTTTAGATACAGTAGGCCGCACTTTTCTTTACACATTACAGCAAAAATCTGCCCTGTGGGTGGTTTTTAGCAGGCCTGGAGTGTTTTTTTTCTTAATCTTTGTTAGTCCACTGTATGAACAACAAAAACTTGCTTATAAACACTTAACAGTAGCATTACATATATATATACATATATACACAAAACCTACAGAAGTATAGTTCATTTCTTTCTCAGCTCCTTAGACTACATACATCTGTTTTTTTGCAAGCTACATAGAGACTCGTTCGGTTTTATACTTCAAATCAGATATTGTGACTGTTTCAGCTGCTGCAGCCTCCGCTGTGTTTCTCTGTATTATCTTGAGTCAGTGTTTACTGTGTATGCACTTGACCCTCGTGTTCTGATCTGTGTATATGCACAGCTCTCAGGCCGAATGTTTGCACTTTGATCCTTCGTAGCACGCTAACGGAGCTCTCGTTGTTTTGCAGATAAGCCGCACAACCCGATGGTGAATGCTGGCGCTATTGTTTGTACTTCACTCATAAAGGTAAAAGCAGTCACACTTCGTCCTCCTCCTCTGTGTGTTTGTGTTCGTTTACGTCCAGTCTGTGTGTCACTTCCTCTCAAACCTCAGAAAGTTCCTTGTAATGTGGGCGTCACTGAGCTGCTTTATCAGTGAGGTAAAATGAGGGGTAATGTAAGGCCTGGGGGTTAATTAACCTGCTTTTAATGATTTACCTGCCATTTCCTGACTTATTTAACTGATTCTTGTGAAACTCATGATTTTCTTTCCACTGTGTTCTCGTGTTTACGACTGACTCAGTTCGAGGTATTTGTAAGTTACTGCCCTTAGGCGTGTGTCCTGTTGTGGTGATTAAAAGTCTCGTTAATCCCTCCTGAAGGACACTTAGCTGCTCCAGCTCACACGCTTCAACCACACAGACTAAAAATAACCTGCACGGAGAGCAAGCACAGGTTAAAATGCACACCTTCAGATTTTATCTCAGCCTTAACGTAGATTCAGTAAGTTTTCTGGTGAGAGATCAAACCAGCTGCAGCTCACAGTCTGACCCCCCAAACAAAGGAGATATTAAACCTGGCTTAAATGCCAGCTTTGTCATAGGCTTTTCCTCTGGCAGAGTTACATTTAAAAACACTTTAAAGCCTTTCAAGTAGATGTTTGACCCCCCTTTATTGTGTCATGACTCACTTTAACGATCGATTGCTGCAGCTTTTTCTGGAGGTGACCTATTTTTTTCTGTCCCCAGCACTTAGACTTTATCCTGTATGACTAATGAAGTGATTCATCCCAGCTGCATTGATATATTGCCAAAGCTTCAAGGTGTTACTTTTAGTTTTTGTTGGACTTGAGTGGAAGCAGTCCAGAGAAGGAAGCTCTTCAGAGTGATTTGGATCTTTTTGTATTTAAAGGTAGCTCAGGTCTGTGTGTTTTCAGTGACCACATGTTATTGTAACATTGTTCATTCGATCTTTTTTTTCTATTTGTGCTTCTTGTTCATTTTCACCCTGCAGATGAACCGTTTTTAAAGTGACTACACTTTGCCTCGTGATCTGTTAGCTTCACATTAGAGGGACGTTTATCACGCAGCTTTTGCGTCGCGATTGAAAAACAGCAGCTGAGCAAAGGGGAGTGCAGACTCTTAACACTCCTAATTTAAATCAAAGCAGAGGACGAAATTAGTTTAAACAGAGACAGCAGCAGGCTCATTTACAAAAATGCTTTTAGACTAAACGCTGTCTTCTCTCCGGTCCTTTGGTCCTGAACTGAAATAAGGCAGGACTCCACGTTTACGACAAAAATAGTAATCACGTTTATTTACTGAAATTTTAAAAATGTCTTTTTACAGGGGTATGAATTTTAAATTTAAGTCAAATGAAAACAAATAAACGCAGGGACAAAAGAGGCGGAGGAGGTGAAGTGACACACGGTCATCACATTAGGGAGTTTAGGTGAGTATCTGGGAGACCTGCATGGTAGACGAGCAGAAAGCAAAGAAGAACCGATGGAAAAAACACAGACTTTTTGAACTTTTGAAACAATAAACTTTGCACTGTATTGTAAAATCGTGATTTTAATTAGATTTTGATTAATTGCACTGCAACCCAGAGGCAAAGGCAACTGCAGGAAATGTTAATCCCTCTAAACCATTAATAACCTGACCTTTACTTTCTGTAGATGGATGACCAAACATTTGTTCCAACTCGGCTTTATTTGAATTTAATTGCATGACTTTGTGCTTTTAAAGAAAAGGTAGAAAAAGGGAAGAGCTTGGTTTATAACAAAATAAGAGCATCGCAGTAAAAATGAACGAAAAGAAGCTAAAATGAAAACTGAAACATTCGAGAGAGCAGATGCGAGACTAAAAGTCACAAAAATCAGTCATCAGATGGACGAACGCCTGAATGTCTTTTTAAATGTTTGAATGATATAAAATAAATCTGGAGAGAATCGACTGCTCTGTGTTTCAGTTCAATGACCCTGGTGTTATTGTTGTGTTTCACTCTCTGCTCTTATCAGCTTTGTTTTTAGCTGCAGGAGGAGGTAGAGCAGGAAACCCTGTGATAAAAGCAACCCGCAGCTTTTAGCATTAAGAGCTGGATCGTTTTTCTCAGGACCAAAACAAACTGTTTGTTTTGCAGGCAGTTTATCATTCATGTGTCAGAGTCACTACACTAAATGCTTCCTACTGAGCTGGAGTCTGGACATGTTTAGGTTAGCCAAAACACTCTTAAACCAGGGAAAAATAGGCTGCACTGATTCTCAATTAAAGTTTGGCAATAAAAGCCTCCACACATTGTATTTTGACACCTCTGTTATGTTTAAACTGTAAAGCACGGACAGAGACACCCATCAGACCCATTAAATTGCTTCAAAAGTTTGAATTTGCACCAAAATCAGGACTAAAAATTTAATTCTCACTACAGTTTATCCTTACTGTCATGTGACATTACAGCTTTACTAACACCATCAACCCAGTCATGCAAAGCTCTCACACGGGATTTCTTTGAGAAGTCAGAAAGTAATCAGGAACACAAGTAAATAACAATAATTTGGCATCTTAATAAAAAAAAATCTTCTTTACTATTTTCTCTTTTTTTTTCTTTCTTTTTTTTTAAAGAATAAGTTCAAAAATTTATGGATAACGATAATAATTTTATTTTATCACTAAAATACAGTTTAGATTAAAGAGCTTTCACATACAGGTGGATTAACAATTACAGAAACATAAAGAATCATTTAGATAATTATAATACTGTTAATTAAGGGCAGCTGTGGGTTCCTGCTTACATTGGGTTTAAGCCACAAATTTTTATTATTTTTTTTAAAAGTAAAGTGCTGAATATTATGCATAAAAACTGTTTTAAAAAAAGATGAACTTAAACATTTGGAGTCAGAAGTTACCAGACTTGAACAGGAGCATAAACTGTATGGGTGCAGTGCACAGATAGCTGCTAACTGCTGAATAACTCCGAACATTATTTCTGCTGTAAAGTCGATTAACGCGGAAGTCTGCAGGGACTGGCTCGCTGCTTGAGTCGGCCTCAAGTGGACGTTAGTGGAACTGCAGATTTTAACGCTTCAACACCGGCTTGGTTGAACTCGCTGCTTCTTGAATCATAAAACTTTTACTGAACATGTCTGGACTCCGGCTCTGCAGGCACGCTCAAGTTAACATTAACCTCACTAAAGTCTGAGCTGATCAGGTTCTATGTTTTTGAACCACCATGTGATACAAAGAGGACTTCCTTAGATGCTCACAGCCATCAGACAGGTTCACTCACAGCTTTCTTACTAATTAATGATGCAGTTTGAAGTCCTCAGGCCTTAAACTCAAACTCAGAACATGTGTCTGTGTCCACATCGGCTCATCAGTGTCTCTTTTTTTTTTTTAAATGTGTTGCTTTTGATTTTGATTTTAACTGTAAAGCCGTTGGTGAGGTTGCACAGTTAGCCTTTAACCTTCGGTGGGGAAACCCGCCGTGAGGAGCTTGCCGTGGCCGTATGCCCCCAAACTGTTGTTACATGCTGCTTGAAGGCTACATGTTGTTGCTGTTTTTGTATGTTGCATATTTTGCAGACTTAGGAACTGTGGGAAATAATGACTGCAGCAGCAGGTCAAATGACGTTGGTAATTTTTTCTTCCTTTTCCATATCTATCTCCTCATTCTCTCCCACTTCCCCTGATCCTCTTCCTCTCCCTTCTCTCTATTTTTTTTATTCTCCTCCAATCAGCTCTGTAGAAACTTCATGTAGTGACTCTTTAACATCTCCATCAGCGCCACAGTTTTAAAACTCTACAAGTAAAGTTAAAACTGGTGCTACAGCACTTTAAATGTGCATGTGTGGCCATGTTTTTTTTGTTTTGTTTTTCCTTTGCTGTGTTTTCTCTGCGGGACATCAGCGAGCTACAAGCTGTGACGAAGGCCAACCCTCCCTCCCTCTTCACCTCAAATATACACACACTCACACACCTGCACAGTGTTAACTTATAATACACACCTGCCTGCATACACCCACATCTTGCAGACTTACTGTAGAAACATGCACACAGTCAGGGCTGTCATACATATTAAAAACAGGTTTGACTGTTTGGATTGGAATCAGTGAGATGTCATGAACACGTCTGCTAAGTCTCCCTTCAAACTTCCCTCTTTGTAATCTATCCGCAAACTGATCGCATTAATAGTTTGTTGAGCTCTTGGCAAAGCTCGTGTGATTTTTACACTTTATTTGTAATCAGATCTGTTCATGCCTGCTAATTATGTAAATCTAGTTGGTCAGAATTATCATTTATCATTTTATAAAATCTTTTGTGATGCCGTGCTTTATCCTCTGAGATTTCTCTCTATAAATGAACCGTGCTAACGACTCTTTATTTTGTTTTCTCCGCAGCAAAGTGTAAGCAACGCAGAGAAATTTGACTATGTGAGTATTGGTCAGAGCTCTGACCCACAAGTATTTAAAGTTCATTTATATTTTCTTTGTCAAGGTGTGATTCGTTCATCTAACAGCATCATAGCCTGACGTTAAAATGTGAAATAAATCTTCTTGGACACTTTATTAGGTACACCTTTTCATAGCACAACTCTCTAATCAGCCGGTCTGCTTCGAGCTGATGCATCAATATAGAACAGTAGCTCAAATAACACTTACAGTTACAACCAAAGTATGCAGAAGAGCATCTCCGAGCCTTGAACCAGCTTAACCAGCTCAGCTACTGCAGTGGAAGACCACACCGGGTATAACTTCTGTCAGCTAAGAACAGGAAACTGAGGGTACAGTTCACATAGACTCATCAAAACAGGATATACCAGATTGGAAAAATGTTGCCAGGTCTGACGAGATAAGACTCTATTTCTGCTGTGGCATTCAGACAGTAGGGTCAGCTGTGGGATGTGGTAGAATGGGAGATTCACATCATGTATGTACAGCTGATAAATCTGCAGTAACTGTGTGATGCCATCAAGTCAACATGGACAAAAATCTCTTGTTGAATCTATGACATGATAAATAATGGCAGAGCTGAAGGTGTACCTAATAAAATGACCAGTGGATGTATATAAAAGTGACATTGCTCATTTGTTTCAGACTCCTCATTTTGAAGGGTCAACCTGAGCATTCGCTGCCACTGTGTTGGTTTTTCTTGTAGCTATTATTTGAGAGGCTGGTGAGCACCCTCAGCACCCCTCCTCCTCGTAAATGTTTTTATTGGTGCAGTCGATGCTCTCGTGTAGGAAAGAGTCAGTACTCGTGAAATCAAACAGGTGTCAAACATTGAATTTTCTCTTGAGGTTTAATTATCTGCACCTCTGTGTGTGTTGAATAAGTTTATAGGGACTCTTGATGTTTTATATGTGCTGTTTAGCTGGCATCTCTTATCATTTGTAGTGTTTGACCTCCATACATGAACCTCTGGATCATTTTTTCATCTCGACTCACCTCCTGCTTTCCTTCCAGGTCATGAACTTTCTGAAAAAGATGGCGGGAAACGAGTATGTGGGTTTCAGCAACGCCACGTAAGTCCCTCCACATCGCCTCTTTAAAATCACCCAAGTTTACTTATCCTTGCCCTGCAAACCCCCGAACCGAGCTGACCTAACCACCACCGTAATAACCTTCACAGGCTCATTACAGGAAGCGTAAACTGTGAAAAACACCTTAATTAACTGGGATCAAATTAACAAGCACACAGGCCATGTTTTAAATGGCTTATGTTCACGAGAAGTCCGATATAAGCAGGACTGTCTTATAATACCTGCTCAGAACAACAATAATAATAATTAATAATGTAAAAAAAACCTTTCCTTTATACAAAAAAGCTGAACACTGTTTAAAGAAACATCATTTTGGTCCTCAGTCACCCACATCTGTTGTGTGCTGAGGACTTCCACAGGTGCTGATGAGGTTTTAAAGGTTTGCATGATTTATGACGGCTCGTGTTGCAGTGTCATCACATGATTGCGTGAGCTGTGGTTATGTTGTACACATGAAGGCCGAGGTCTGTGAATACCAGCACAGCACTGAAATAACACACACACGCTACCTTCATCTGTAATGGGAGTGCTCTTCTTTGTGTGACAGATTCCAGTCTGAGCGTGAGTCAGGAGACAGGAACTTCGCCATCGGCTACTACCTGAAAGAAAAAAAGGTTTGTCTTTGTGATTCTCCTCTCTGAAAACCTGGAGAGAATTTAGAGTTTAAACGAATCGGGCCTCACGTTTCTGCTTATTTTGCCACTGAAGCTTGAAAGTTTACAGCCAGCAGCTCAGCATGTAATGCTTCTCGCCCCTTAAATACGTTCATGCATAAATGAGAAAAATCTGCATATTTTTGATTCAGCTGATTGTAACCCTCCTGATTTGCCTTTTGGTAGGAGTCAGCTAAGACCCCTGAGACTTTTTTAAACTTATGAATGAAAAACTGCAGCGTCAGTTTAGAACAGAAAAAACCTGGTGGTGTTGTTCTTATCTAGGACACAGCAGCCTGGTTTTTGCCGGGATCACAGATCAGTAACATAAACACATAAATACAATCAAACAAGGTGAGCCATGTTCTGTCCGAGCTCCTCGTTTGATTAGCGCGAGTGCTGCAAGTTCAGCTGGACTTTCCCAGAAATAAACTCATCTACAGATGCAAGACAGCAAGAAAGACGTCAGTCAGTCACCGTGTGTCCAAGTCCATGTGTTTCTGAGGAAAGAACCAGATTAAAAGAGTTTTGGGGTTTTTTTTCCTGTGAAGAAAACAACAGTTATTCTTTGAAACAGTAAACCTTTGATCAGGTGGTCTGGTGTAAAACGAGTCTTTAATGGGGCTGACGGCACTCGTAAGCTGTGACTGCTCAGCTCAACAAACATAAACCAGAAGAACTGGATCAAAGATAATGGAGAGATGATGGATGCATATTAGAGGAAGTGGAGACTGTGAAACACATATTTAAAGGGTTTCAGCCCTTTGGCTCTTGTACCTGATGCTTTCAAGTCTCTTCAGCATGAGAGCGTGGTTATTAAATGTTTTTTTTTTCTCCTCTCTGCAGTGTTTCCCAGAGGGGACAGACATGACCTCTGTACTGGACTTGTACTTTCAAGTGAGTGTAACTTTAGCTTCTTCCAGTATTTATACATTTTTAATGAGAGGATATCATTAGGTTGTTTTTCTGCTTCATTGCTGAGCTGTTTCCTGCTATTGATTTTTATCCTCAAGAGTAAAGCTTTCTGACCAGTTGTTTCCACCGCTTCTTTCAGCTTCTTTCTGTGTGATACATACATAGCTTCCTGACCACACGCAGAGATGGTTTTACCTCTATATGCTGTTCCAGTATCTCCCAAACCAATCAGATGGATTTATTTCCATCATTTCCACCCTTTACTTTCACTTTTCTGTCACCTCGCTTTGTAAATCAAGCTGCAGTAACAGAGTTATTGTCTCTGCCTCTCCAGCTCTGCTCCATTGAGGTGACATGTGAGAGTGCCAGTGTCATGGCGGCCACCCTGGCCAACGGGGGTATCTGCCCAATCACGGGCGAGCGCGTGCTGAGCCCAGAGGCGGTGAGGAACACGCTGAGTCTGATGCACTCCTGTGGCATGTACGACTTCTCAGGGCAGTTTGCTTTCCATGTGAGTGAAACACAACACAGGTTACTGTTGTTTTGATTTATTAACTGTTTGTATTTTCAGGATTTTTAATTAGACTTGAACGATGATTGTTAAAACTGCAGGAATATGCAATTTATTAAACAGCAGTGCCTAAAAACAGTTCACAGAGTCCTTCAACAGGCAGACAGCAGCACTACAGGTGCCATACAGGATGATTTAAAAAATATAACAGTGAATGAAAACCTTAAATAAAGCACTGCAGATATTAAACAAAATAAGAGATGATGTCACATGTCTTAAAATTTAAAAAAAAAAATGAAAAGGAATAGGAAGGAGACGAGGCTTCATCAGGTGCACTGATCATCTAAACTGAGAGCAAACAGGGAAAAAGTTTGAGTGTTTGTCCTTAAAAATGCACATAAGTGTTCTGGAGACATACTCAAGAGCTAACGTTCTTTTTTTGAAGCATGTGTTGTTGTTTTCGGACAGAGTTTTGTCTTTAAACATTTCTGGCACAACCAACAATTCAAAATGTAACGTGGAGCTTCCTCTGGTGATAATCCAGCTCTGCATAAGCATGGCATTCAAAATCCATCCCAGTTAAAACTGTTAAACATAATGAGATGTCTTTTGTTACTTTTAAAAAGCAAAATACAGTGTTTACTGTATTAACAACCCTCAACCGAAGGGCCCATGTGATTGAATATCAGATTTTAAAGTCGTGATAGTGTTAGATTATCTGTGTTAGGTAGTTTTAACCATATGAATTCTCACATTAAACCACAGCTAGAGTATCTCAGAGGAAATGATCAATAACGAAGCACAACGACTTTCATCCTGAGTCGGTGGGAGACGGATTTCTGGACTCTGAAACTGAACAGAAAAACGAAGGCGCTGTTGCTTTGGATCTGACACAAAAAATCTAAATAACTCTTAGGGATTTCTGAGAATATTCAGTGTATCGTGAGATTTACCATCGCTGTGTTGATGTACTTTGTCACCGTCGTGCTGCTTCTACACACACAGCCAGCCTTTCTGTAACTGCTTTGTTTCCCTGCTGCAGGTCGGCCTGCCTGCCAAGTCTGGAGTATCAGGAGGGATCCTGCTGGTTGTGCCCAACGTGATGGGCATCGTGTGCTGGTCGCCTCCGCTCGACAAGCTGGGCAACTCGGTCAGAGGGATCCAGTTCTGCACGGTACGTGATGCCCGGAGAATAAACACTCCGCCTCGAGACAATATTGCACCTCCTTGTTTATTCACTTAAATATTTTACAGCAGCAGAAGGAGCAGAATTGCTTTTTAGGAGCTGAAAGTGGCCTTTCATTGCAGGCATGCTCTTTCCCATTAGTGTGGTTCATATCCGAACGAGCACCCCGGCTACTTTGCATTGAAGTCTGAGCAGCAGTCATTTTAGATCAGACCCAAAACATTAGACGAGTCTGAACCGCTCAGCGTCACATTAACACACACAAGATGTAAGACTTCACTTTTAATTTTAATTGAATTTTGTTTACGTTCTTTTCATTCATCCATCATTTCTTTTGTTTACCTAGTCCAGGGTTGTGGCAGGGCTGGAGTTTCCCACCTCTCACTGGGAGGCAAGACACCATTTTAGCTTTTCTCAGCTGCTTTGTTAGTTTTAGTCTTTCTGTCTTTGTATTTCAGGACCTGGTGGAGCTTTTCAACTTCCACAACTACGACAATCTGAGGCACTTCGCCAAGAAGCACGACCCTCGCAGAGAAGGAGGCGACCAGCGGGTAAGGACAAACGCCGCCTCGTCAGGCTCATGTGACAGCACACCTCTCCAGCAGCTTCCTGTAGTCTCAGCTGTTTGCACTGACCTCCATAACTGCACGCACAGTAGCCCCTAAACTGTCCCTGTTCCTCCTTCGGGTGGAAGAGCCGCATAAAGTGAGTGGAGTATATTCGTTTACTGCAAATATTTAACATACAAGGAGCCAAATCTTCAGTTAAAAGACACCTGGAGCCAAACTCAGTCTGATCGTTCAGAACATGCCTGGTAGATGATGCAGTGTTTCCCTCACATTTTACATTCAGAGTGCCCAGAACCTTTTTCTGAGGAAACTAAAGTATTTCTTCAGACCGTAGCGTGCACTTCCACAATGGTGAGCACTGGTGAAGCTTTTTTCCGTTACTCTGCTGACGTAGCTGCGGCTTTTTCCATCATGTGACTTTATAAAAACTGGGGTCCAGGGTGCATCCGGGCTTTCGCCATCTCTACTTTCTGTTTAAGCAAGTAAACACAAATGGGTTGAAATGATAAAAAATAAGTGTTCTCCTTTTCTGATTATCACCGTGTTTTTTTTAAAAGCTCTAGCTCGCTTCATTAGTACGACTAAAAAACTGAAGAATAAAACGCTTAAAAAAAGAAACAAGCAGCGAGCATGTCGGATGATGTGAACCAGGTGTAATAACGGCAGGATTTCGTCAACTCTAAAAATCTGAAAGAAAACTGTTTTGCTCAGGTGGATGGTCACTTAGTGTCCTAAGTGTGTAGTCCTGAGTCACCTGAGCTACAAATGTAAAAGTGGAAAAAGAGGATTTTGTGGACAGATTTGTTTGCTGAGTTACTGACTTACTGCTTAATCTGCTGATGGACTTTAATCACAATCTATTGATTAGATAGAATCTAATCTATTGTATAAAAATACTACTTTTAAAGTTTCTATAATGCTATATGTCAAATTTACTTTATTTATTATGCCAGCTCTTTTACTTTGATTCCTTCTGCTAATGCAGGCTCAGAGCTTTATAGCTACTCTGTGTCAGAGTCAGCGTAAATATGCTAACTTATTGTTACATTTTGTTGGTAATAACAACAAAAATGTAAACAATTTTAGTTTTATAGCTCTATAAACAAAGATGTCTGACCCCTGGTAGGGATATAAGTTGTCAATATGAGCAAGCAGGTGTGTTGTGTTATTACATTATGCAGTATTGTCGGTATATAGTGCTCCATTAACACTACTGAATGTGTGGGAAACACTGTGAAAACTGATGGCACTGTTTTGGCTCCATTTTACTTCCAAGTGTTGCAGCGATCCACCCAGCACATAAACGCAGGCAGAAACGGAGATTTGAGACTAATTTATTATCCGTGTCAATAACAGCAGCAGACCTTCGGACCTATGGATTACGAGAGCCTCCAGCAGGAGCTGGCTCTGAAAGCCCCTCTTTGGAAAAAGGTGTCCCCCACTGAGTCGAACGAGGACAGCTCCACCACTGTAGTCTATAGGATGGACAAAGTCATCGAGTGAAACTTTAAAACAAACAAACAAACAAACACAGACGCCCCCACCTCGCCTGATCTCCCAGCAACGCGACGGCATCGTCTCCTCACCCTCATATTTATGTATAAATTATGTAGAGGATTATTTATTGCTGGTGAAGCGGTTACTGCGAAACTTGTTTTTGATTTTGTCTGTGCTGGAAAAATGGGATCAGCTTATTATTATTATTATTATTATTATTATTATTATTATGAACTCCAAATGACCTCCATTTGCTTCGTTGCCTTAGCGACGTGACAAGGATCTGATGTGTAACGTACGCACTTCGCTCTCGTTTTATCTCAACACACTTTTATCTTTATTTTCTTCTTCATCACGTCAGAGTTTTCTTTTTAACAATGTCGGCTAACGCTGCGTTCACTCTACGACCCAAAACAACAGCTGCTTGAGAGTAAACACAGACTTTAAATTTAGGGGTGTGTTACGAGTGATTAAAAGAATATTTTGGCCGTGATTGATATGTTTTATTTTCCTGGTTATTATTATTATTTTTTATTTTTCCCACTTTTGTGACATTTGGCTCCTCGATTTAAAATATAGATGAAGAACATTAACGAATGTCATTCACAAGTGTTGCATTATTTTGCAGATCTTTGTGTTTTCTGTTAAAATAATACTTGATTTGTGCCTGCTTCCATTTCTTTGACATTAACTCGACTATGAAACAGACAGAAGTCGTGAGGACTTTCAGCTCGAGTTGAGTTTGTTTGTGTTTGATGATGCGGTTGATACTAACAGAGGGCAGTTTTCTCGCAGTCAGGTGACAAAAGCATTGGGCTGTTTCTTAGGTTTGACTTGTTTGCCTGCAGCTTCCTGACATGCTTCTGAATTCTGAGGAAGGAAAGGCGAGTAAAGTCAGTCGTGTAGGTTCAGTTAAAGTCTCTCGTGGCTTCATACAACCATTAACTCCCTTGCACAGCTCACAAAAGTATGCAAACACGATGTCTCCATGTAGAAATAAATCTGCTAAATGTGAATGCAGCATTTATTTACTACAAAGGTGACGATTCATGTCCCTCACCTGAAATTGCGTCGGAAGATCTGTGAGCAGATGGAGCTGACACTTCCAGAAAAAAATCAGACGTACTAACCGTGGATGAACTTAATCTGAGGCTTTTATCTGCTCTAGTCCAGTTACAGGATAAAGTCATCAAATAAAACCCTTTTTCTCAGCCACAGTTCATTTCAGTAATGACCAAAGCGATTATCGAGTCAAACACGAGCCTGCTGGGTGTGCGAGTGAGCTGTTAACCAAAAAAATACAGCATGGCTAGCTTCACACGTGGAGTTGTTTCCATAAGCAGCAGGTCAGTGAGAGACAGCTGAAGGAGAACGGATCACATGTTGGATGTGCCGTCACATGCCATTATTTATGTTTGCATTGAGTTACCGCTGTTGTGCCATGATGCTTTTACTGTGTGAGACTGCAGGAATTTATGAAAGTCAAAGGAAACAATCCGACTAAAAGCCGTCTGTGCACAGCAGTTTCTGCAGAACTCCACCTGCAGATCAGATTATAAGACTCTATCTCACTACACTCCTGCCCGATTCTCATTAATAGACACAAAATACGTTTCTGTGCGCTACAGTTTCATGAGGGGCCGGCACTTGTGCAGAAATGTGGCTAAAATCCTGAAACACTGCAGCCCCATCAGCTCACCTGTGCCCGTAACACATCCATGGCTTTTACACGAATCATGTAGCGAGCAACTATTCCCTCCCTCTGACTTCCCGTGTTGTGTTTTACTCTATTACATCAAAGTACCAGAATTACTAGTATTAGTACAATTACTGTTGACCAGAAATACGCTGAGCTCAGCTCGAAAGGTTCCTGCTGAAGTTTTGGTTCTGAACTAACATCCACCTTTCTGATAACCTCTCCGCCTGGCTGTCCAAGTACATTAATGCCCCCAGCAACCCGTCAGGAGCAGGATGAAACTTGATTTTTGTGTTTGTGTGGCTTAAACTGCAGTAAGCCACCTGCCACAAACTTGAAGAAATCATGTTAATTAAAACCAGATCAGTCTTAGTCTCATCAGTTTAGGCAACATTTCTTATTTCTGGATGTTCGTAGCAGCAGGCATGTGTAGCTATCAGCTGTGCATCTGCACACGAGTGATCTTCAGCTGCAGACCAAAGAGTGTGTTTGAATTTTTACTTCAGACGTTCCAGGTTTATCTCACAACCTCCTCGGTAAATATAAGTACTTGCACATAAATGTCACGCCAGCGGATGCCTTAGATTTCTCTGCACCGTGAAGCAGGAGGAGGTGTGTGTTTATTAATCACTGTTGAAACTGTACATGTGTTTGTAGGTTTGAGCTCAGAGCGATGCTGCTGGAGCCGTTACCACCATGTTACTACTGTCATGGCATGTTTTTGTTTTTTTCCTTTTTCGTTAAACTTCTGCTGGTCATGTGGGTGTTACAGGTGAAACGTATTCAAAAGCCTCAGTCATCATCAGTGTTGCTGGATTATTATAATCTGAAGATTATTATCACATAAAAAAGTTATTTTCTCGTGTAGTAATCAAATGTATGAACACTTAAATGAACTCCCCCGCATGTGTTGTTGGTTGTGAAGTTCGCTGTTCGACTGATTTTGCTGATTTTAGCTGAATTGTTAGTTATGAAAAATTGACACTGCGTTTAAAATGCAAATTATTATAAAGAGATTTTAAAAAATATATATAATTGCCAAACAATTAGAGAAAATTATGATGTAGCTGCACTTTATTTTTATTTTTTTAGTAAAACTATTGAATGTACAAACTCTTGAGTCACTGGAAAACCGATCTAATGAGGAGGCGATGCGTATGCCGGTTTAGGCTACACAGATCCTGGGTGCTGAGCATACGGAGATAAAAATACTGTGTAGCTTGAACCCGGTTTAACGTGCAAAGCTCATTTTATTCCCATTTAAATCAACCATATGTGCAGAGTTTTTCCAGAGTGCGTGACTTTTACGAGCAACCAACCACAGAGACGAGTGAAGAAGAACACAATTGCTTGTTTTACTTCCCTCACATGTGAGCGAGGCCTTTACCATAACAACAGTTCCTTTTTTTGTTTTCATGGACGTTTCATTAATCAGTTCACTAAAAAAAACTACACTTTTAAGACTAAAGTAATTAATTGTTTTAGGACTTGATTAAACGCTGCACAGCTCGTCGGTTTGACAGGAATAGTTTATTTTCCTGATTCGCTCGGTTTTAGCTCGGCATTTCCTTCTTTTGGCCGTGAGCGAAACGAGTCGCTCTCCTCTTCTTTAAAATATTGACTTTTACATCTTTGATGCTCCGTTCATTGGCACAAAAATCTGAATTTGAGAGCCAGAGATAAAAACTAAAGGGACCTGCATTGGGGGGAGACTAAACTGATCCAGCCAATCAGGACTAATTATCCTAATCGCATCTGTCCTTCTTTGTTTTGGAAGAATAACACATGAACCTTGTGTTTATGTGTTATTCAGTGTTGGGTGTAACGCGTTACTAAGTAACACGTTACTGTAATTAAATTACTTTTCCACTGAAATTTTAATTACAGTTACTTACAATGTACTTGCGTTACATTGTAAAATAATTAAACTCGCTGAATATCATTATTTAATTTCAATAATTTATCTTCTAAAGGTAAAAATAAACTCTGCCGCTTTAACATCGCTGTAGTGCAGCTGCGCGTCATTTCGCACCAGTTTGCTGCATAGTCGTATTCTAAAGCGGAAGATGTCGGACTCGGCTGAAGCGAGTGGCTGTTTTATGAAATGGACCTATTCCCGTCTCTTCACTTTTCTGAAACAAGCAGACAAGAATATTACAGTAATATGTAAAAACTATCGGCTGCTGTTAATAGCATGAGTAATCTACTGAAGCGCCTGACAGGAGAGCACAGACAAACACTTCTGAGTGATTCTTGTTCATCATCCATGGATAACACCGCGGCAACTCCTGCTAAGCAGGCAAAACCTGATTTTACTTCAGCAGCACAGAAAGCGTCTGAAGGTGAGCTTAAAAAAATAACTGCAGGCTACATTGTGGAAGAGATGCTACCGCTGCGTACTGTAGTCTCCGTCTTTAAAAGAAGACTAAGAAGTATTTAGTTAAATTACTTATTGAGTAATTAAGTTACTTTTCAGACACAGTAATTAGATAAGTATTTTAAATACAATATTGATTAAGTAATTAATTACTTTTTTAAAGTAACTTACCCAACACTGGTGTTATTCTTCAAAAAAAAAAAACCCTGATTATTCCGATCAGAATCGTGACAGCGGGGCTTTTGAATGCAGCGTCAGTGGAAATCATCAGATCTGTATTATGAGTCTGTGTAAAGCTTTGTTCAGTTTGCACCATGAAAGTAGATAAAATGAAGAACGGCTCGATCCAAACCCGAGTGTTAGAAAATCAAAGATGATTAAATTCTAATGGTGCAAATTTAACAAAAGGACTCATCTTTGCACAGACCTTCATGTCATGTATGAGTTTGTTTTCTGTTGTCTGCATGATTTTTTTTTGTCAATTTCCATGAATTTTCATCCTTGTTTGAATCCTTTTCACTGTCTCTCTTTTATTAATTTGTGTCTTGAACATGTGTGTTATCCCTTTGAAAATTAATAAAAGATTTAAAAGTGATCACTACCATCAAAGTTTGGTGACCTCGGAACTGTGAGGTTAGATTTTTATACAAAGACAAGCAGAAGATAAAACGAGCTGCTTCCTGACCTGAAAATGTGAAACCAAACAGTTCCCAGCTCACAGCTGTCAGACTTTTATATGTTTCTGTTTGTGAAGTCTCCATGAGCTGCCTCTTTGTTCTGGACGTGCAGACGTGACAGTAAAAATGGTGTTGATATTATTTTTGCTGCCTTGTTGTTTCTTGTATGAAATGAAATAAAGCATCTGTTTTAAATCGTCTCACCATCTGAGCTCGCAGCGGTTCTTTAACAGAAAACACCCTTAACTTGAAGATTCATGAAGTCGTCCCTCTTTCTAAGGTTTATGAATCAGGACATAACTAGAATAATGTGGTGAATTCTTAGGTTATGTAAATATAACCTTAGACGAACAGCGACACATGACAGGATCAATAAAATACTCGCCTGTCTGTGTCTTTATTTATTTAAGAAAAACTGAACCAAAATGCAGAACCAATGGGGGGGGGAACCCTCACTGCTTCCACTGAAATTATCAGCCAGGTGCTGCTAGTTAATGCACTTCATTAACTGCTCATCAGGTGTGAGTGGAGCGTTCAGGTGTGTTAACATAATCTCTCTCTTTCCCTCAGAAAGGATTGTAAGACCAAACGTTTTTAAATCCATTGTAATACAGCGTGAAAAATTATTCATAATTAGTAAACATTCAAGACAGCTGGTTCAGGCTGGCCCAAAAAAGATCTAACAAGCATGGATTATTTGGAAGAGCTGCCAGGAGCGTCGTCTCCCTAATGAGAACGTGGCAGCACAGCTTAGGTTCATAAAGCTGCATCTAAACAAACCAAAAGACTTCTGAATCCGAAGTGGAAATATTTTGTCGACCAAACAGCATGTCAGCACAGGCACCTCATTCCAACAGTCAACCATCAGTACTCCAGTTTTACTGCATTCTGACACGCAAACGCATTTATGGCTCGTCTGCAGGTGTTTTTGTTCACACGGGTTTTAAGGTGCCTGGTTTACCGTCACTGGCGTCACGAGTTTTTCAATTCAATTCAATTTTATTTATATAGCGCCAAACCACAACGAAAGTCGCCTCAAGGCGCTTCATAGATACAGAGAAAAACCCAACAATCATATGACCCCCTATGAGCAAGCACTTTGGCGACAGTGGGAAGGAAAAACTCCCTTTTAACAGGAAGAAACCTCCGGCAGAACCAGGCTCAGGGAGGGGCGGCCATCTGCTGCGACCGGTTGGGGTGAGAGAAGGAAGACAAGATAGAAGGAAGACAGGATGGGGTAAATCTTAAGTGCTCATTTTGTGGCGACCTGTAAACCAGCGGTCTCCAACCTTTTTTGCTCTTTTGTTCATGCCCTTTAAAGAATATTCTTCCTTTACGTACTTGCACCTTAGTAGCCATCTTGGTTAATTGCCCCACTTTAAGTTAATGTTGAAGCTTTGTTTGCTTTTGTAAACATAAGATAAAAATTTGTTCATCCAGGTGATTTAGTTTTACTTTCATTTATGTTTTTTTGCACGAAAGAACTTTGAGTTAAAAAAAAAAAGGCCCAAGATAAAATAAAGAAGGATTATTATGGACTGTGAATCATACAAAGCTACTCTGAGAGGTAAATGCTCCTGTCACATTCCAAGCCTAATGTTAGTTAATATTACCTAATTCAATGATGCCGAGTTCAAAAGTACCAATAAAAATATTTACTCGTGCACATTTTTGCCACAAATCATAAAACTGTATGTGCTCATGTTTATTTTAGCCTCTCTGACACAGTTTGCATATTTTCATTGGACTACCAAACGAGGACGAGGTTAGGACAACACAATCAGAAGATTTCACTCAAAGGCCAATTTGTACAAACCAAGGTTAATTTACTTAACTAAAACTAAAGAAATAAATCTAGATGTGAAACTAGTTTACCCTGTAGAGAAACATTATGACACTGGACACTTACAGGCTTTATTTTTTGAATCTCAAACACAAATTGTATTGAAAAGATGGTTGTAACCATTAGCAAACATTTTTTTAAACCAGGCCTCATGATGAGTACATCTTAAAATAGAAGATTATCTGAAAACAAAACATGATACTGTGGAGCGAAAAGATCGGAATAACAAAATACAAAGATGGTCAAACTCTTAAAAATGTCCATTTTAGGCTGTTTTGATGAATATCTGCAGGTTTTCTGAGTCCCTGTCTCTTTTTTTCGATAGTGTAAATTTTTTATTTGGACCAAAACTTTACGTTTCTTCAGCTCTCTCTTCACATAAATAATCCTGTTCTTGAGAAACTCTCCCAGCAACCCTTCTGATAAAGGATTAACAACATTAATTCACAGACTGTAGCTCTGACAATGTGAAATACTAAAAACTGAATGTTAATGATTTGATTTTTTTCTGTAGAGCCCTCTCCATGTTTGTATTCTTATTTTCTTCACATGTTTTACTTTGAAGTTTTGCTCATAGGAAATGATTCATTCCTGTTTGGTGGTAAGTTATGACCAAACCGTGGATCTGTGATTGAAATATTTAGTGCTGTTGAATTATAGCATTGTGGTGATTAAATGACTAATTTCTTCCAAAATAATCATAAAAAATAAATGTGTGATTGACTTCCTTTCAGTGCTGCTTGAAATGTGTGGCGTTAGATTAGATGTGTGTGGAGTAATTCCTTCGTGAGTCTTTCAGCTCTTATGCAGCTGCCTGTGTGTTTTGGTTTAATGGTGTGACCCTGAAAACGTCCTGTTTCCGTCCACAGGCCAAGTCTGTCATCAACCTGCTGTTTTCCGCCTACACTGGGGACGTATCAGCCCTGAGGAGGTGAGCAGCTCACACAGCTTTTAATAAGAGATCAGTTTAGATTTAGTCACGTCTCGCCCCCCAGTGGAGCGTTTTAATAACATCTACATGAAAGAAAGACTCCTCTGGCTGCACGAAGAAGCACCTTGGTGACCTCAAGTGGCAGAAAAATGAACTTACAGGTGTCCCTGTGGAGTTTTTACATCTGACCTCATGAAAGTCTCGTGAAACGTTTGCACTATTTTCAAAAATAGTTTAAAGTGTGGCTCTGCATCCATGTTTGCAGCCTTCTTCACCTGTTAACGATCAATTTTGAGTTAAGGACTTAAAATATTTTTCATCATTTTTTGAATCTACAAGAGTCTGCAAACAAACATGGATGTCGTTTTATGGGCTCGGGCTGGTTGTTAGACTTTTGTTTGGAAAGTCGTGTTTTCAGGCTGTTACAAAGAAGTAATTTTAACCTGATTTCAACAATGAATTCACTTTTACCTGTTGAGTAATTTTATGCTGGTTAGAGGTGTGTAAATGGGGAAAGAAGCACTGTGAGGGCAACTAAGATTTCACCATGGAGATTAAGCCTCACTTATCATTTTAATGTAGCTGTAAAACCTTCTGTAAACCTCTGTGATGCTTCAGCGTTTGTTTGCTTTGGGGACTCAAAGGATCTAAAAATGATGAATGTCAGAGTGACCACGCCCCTCAGTTTAACCCTTAAAAAACATTATAAGCTATTAAAATATTTCCCCTCCTGTAAACTTGATATGAAGGTGTTTTGTATCAGGCTGTAAACATGTTTATTTCTGCTGTAAAGTTGCACCTTTTAACATTGGAGTCTGTGGGGGTTGACTCAGTGCTGGAGCCTCTGGTGGCCACTAGAGGAACTGCGGTTTGTGGCTCTAGCCCTGCTTGGTTATTTGAAACTTCTGGAAGAAACAGAAAACGAAAAACTGCTCCAAAACTGGACAAGAAGTCATAAAACAGAAGGAAATCCTGTATCTCAGATCAGCTCTCCATATAAAATGTATTATTGCTGCTTTCTGAAGGTAATTTCCTAGGAAAAGATGTTTCAGGCTGTAACAGCAAGATGTTCTTTAACCTCCTGCCTGAGACTCTTAAGAACTGTGCAGCAGTTAGAGGTGCATACAGAGTTGTGTACTGGTCCTTTGTGTGTGCAGGTTCGCGCTGTCGTCCATGGACATGGAGCAGAGGGACTACGACTCGAGGACGGCCCTGCACGTTGCAGCAGCTGAAGGTAACGTTCAGCCTGAGGTCAGTCAGTAAATAGACACAGCTCGCCCTCAAATACTCTTTAAAGTCTGATCCTGTGGTCTGGAGCTGTTTCCATGATTTATATATAAATTACATATATGGAAACAGCAAAGTTTCAAGGTAAGAAGTAGACATAAGATACAGACGCTGCAGAAAAATACAGTCATTAAGAGGAGTTATGCATCGGGAGAGCCAATTAAAATCAAGCATGCACCCTTTTCACAGTATAACAAGGTAAAAGTAATTTGTAACATCTGCCCTGCTTCCATTAGGACACATAGAGGTGGTTCGCTTTCTGCTGGAGGCTTGCAAGGTGAATCCAGTACCCAGAGACAGGTGAGTCTTTACTACCTGTATTTATACTGATTATAATAATGAGCTTTGAAGCAGAATTTCCAGCCTTTGAGAAAAGTCTCAGTGTGGTTAAAAAATAAAGAAAACTCATCCTCCAAGCTCAGATTCTGATAACTGTGGAGAACCAAACGTGCCAAAATCATAAATAATATAAATAAATGAAACATTTTAAATAATAATAATCTATTTTTGTATGCTAAATTATTTATTCACCAGTTTACCATCAGCTTATGTGTATTTATTTGTGTAATAATTTCTCTCCCATTATGTAAATGAGGCAGTGTGCCACTGGGTTGGCCACAAAGAAATGTGTTGCTTCATTAAATAATAAATTGTAAATCTGAATCAGAAAGGTTTAAAATATAGAGGCTAGAATTCTATAAATAAATTATTAAATTGAAGCCAAATAGTATTTGTACATTTTTTCCCCTATTTTGCAACATATTGTAGTTTTTTTTGTGTGCGTGTCTTTTTTGCTAGGCTAGGCAAACTCCTTCTAAAATAAATACATTGAGAAATCGTTGTGAAGGTGAACTCATGCAATATCTAATAAATGCCTACACATATTTGTTATTTATTATTAATTTATCTACTATTAATTTTAGTCCTAATCTTTTGTCCTGTGACAGCTGGGAGAGGCTCCAGCCCCCCTGTGTCCCTGAAATGGATAAGCAGAAGAAAATGGATGGATGGATGAATATTAATCTTGGTTATTAATTTCCTTTAATAGTTTCTTTTAATTCTGGGTGTTTTCGGTCCTCCATACCCACCTGCAGGGTTACATCTCTCTTTTTTTTATCAAACATAAAGTGTATTCTTTAACCTTTTAATTTGTTTTTGCACAGATGGGGGAACACGCCGATGGATGAGGCGGTGCATTTCGGCCACCACGACGTGGTCACCATGCTGCAGCAGTACCACGAGAAATACAGCCCGCCCTCCGATGACGAGCACAAGACTAGCCCTGAGAAGAGCCTGGACAGCCTTCTGTGAGACCTGCTGCAGGTTGCTACGGAGGACCGGAGGAGGAAAAACTTTGTAGCCCAACGCTCAGGCTTCTGTTGAATTATTTAGCTGCTCTGCTGTGATTAGATTTTTGGCCGTAAATGGTTGCTTGTTCACGTCTATCGAAATGCGAGCGTGAGCGGCTTAAACTCATATCTAAAGTGTTTACGGTATTACTCCTGTAATCTCACAGTACTGTAAACCACATTTCTAGGATGTACCTTGTACTAGTTTAGTATTTTGTTAGTTTTACTCTCACTGTACATGTGTTGTAAACTGTGTGGAAATTATGGTGGAAATTATGCGATGTGTAGTTACGGGTGTGCTTGATTTACATTCCTGCCTCTGTGCTCATTTGCGAGGTCACCAGCAGGTTCTCAGAGATTGTACTCCAGAATGTATTTTTCAGTGGAAAAACTTGCAATAGAAACAGTTTGTATTTATTTCAGACTTTTTAAAGATGGAAATTCATTTCAGACGAACGTGTGAGACGGACAGAAGATCGTGTGATTTGTTGCATTTTGTGGTTTATTTTGTCAGCATGGTTACATTTGTGTATTTAATTTGGGCGGACTATAATATCAATATAATGTTGATTGGCATACATTTTAGGGCAATGTTTACAGTGACAACCTGATCTGGCTTTGTGCGGTAATTCTCAGACATTATTTTCAGATGTTTTCTTTCCACATGTGGAATATAGTCATTGTTTTTAACCCGTGAAATTTAATTTGCAAATATATAAACATGAACAACACGTACGATAATTATAATCAAAACTACATACTTAAATTTAATGTCCATGTGAGTGTTTTCATGGTGTCAGTTGGAGTTCATGTATTTCATGGAAAAATGCCAAATAAAAAGCTGGAATAGAAACCTCTATATGATTGTGTTTCACACGGTGTGGTTTAGGAGTGGGTTGTCGACTAATCTATAGGTTTGTAGTTTGATTCCTGGCTCCTCCAGTCTGAATCTGAAGTGTCTTTGAGTGAGATGCCAAATTCTGAATTTTCATTGATTCAGCTATCAAAGTGTTCGGACAGAGCAGTGATACCCGAACGTCCAGTTCCAATTTGTGCATGTATACTGGGAGTCTTCTTTACACAGAGGAGGTAGTGACAGAGTAGCACAGGCTTCTGTACTGGGAACAATGCTTTTTACATGACACTGCATAAGTTTTTGTTGCTATGCAGATGATACCAAGCTTTATCTATGACATTAGATGACACAAATTCAATAAACTAAAAACATTTTTTTAGATGACCTATGAATTCTGAAACACTAAGATTATTGTACTCAACCCTAAAAAAAAAATATATCAGAAACAGGGTGTCTAACCACATATTTACACTGGATGTCATCACCTTAGTCTCCAGCAAAACTGTGAGGAACCAGGATACATCCTTCAACATAAACATTAACCAAATATTGGAGTGCTTTAAAATTACCTGAAATACACTGAGCATTAAGTATTTTCAAATAATTTTTGATATGATTTATTCATTTTTGTTGAATTTGATTCTTGACTTGTGACCTCTGTAAACAGGATTCTGGTGAGTTTATAATTTTAATCTGTAGTTTAGAATCTTAGTTAATAACTTAAAAGAGTGCATATTATTTAATGACTTGTGACTGACAAGTTGTCAGTGTCTTCAGTTTGCCAGTCAGGATTAGACAAACATCTGATGCAAATTTTGTTTTCAAAACAAGACCAAGAGGCCTTGCGGGTTTTCTCGGCCCTGGAATTCATCCATCCATCAGTTGACTTAACCACTTATTCAATTCAGTGTCAGAGGAGGACCGTGATCCCAGAGCAGCCACAGAGCAACAGTCGGGGTGCACAGTCATCCAGTCACTTATTTTATTAAAAGTAAATATACCAAATATACAGCACAGTAAGAAAAACAGAATGTGAATACAAACTTTGAATTAAAATCGCATACACATTGATTGTTGCCATTTTTACAGTACAGCTTTTCTTTTCCAGCAAAGTGCAGCGTGTGATCAGCAATCCAGCAGATTTTAGCTGAAACTAAACTGATCGACAAAGAGGTTTTCAGGCGATGATGTCTGTAACGAAGCTAAAGTTGGGCAGATGTCCAGCTGAGATTCCCAGGACTCCCAGAGGAGTTCACTCAAGCTGGCCTGCAGTGAAACACAGAAGGTTTAGTTTAAGTTAGCTGCAGCAGGAAAGGGATAGGGTTTAAACCTGGAGATACTCAGAAGGTGATGCATGTTATGTGATGCATTCGATGTGTTGTGATTTACTTGCAACAGAGAGAGAACATTTAGGCTACGTTCACACTGCAGGCGAAAGCGCATCAAATCCGACTTTTCTGACCCTATGCGACCCATATCCGATCATGGTATGACAGTTTGAACAGCACAAATCCGATATTTTCAAATCCAACCTGGGTCACTTTCATATGTGGTACTGAATCCGATACATATCTGTTTTAGAAAACAACTGCTGTGTGAAGTTTGTGACATGACTAGTCGCATTAAATCTGTTTTTTACATCACTGACACAAGACAGACACCAATTATCAGCGCCGGAGAAAACATCGCGAACGCTTCCTGGCCATCCAGTGTAGATGTCAGTGAAACTGTTGGGAAAACAACGTTGGAGAAACGTGAACATTTTATTTGTACTGTATAATCTGCAGATTCTGACAGAAATCTGCAGCTATCCTTTGAAGCACCGCTCCTCTCTAAAACAGCAATAAGGATCATTATTAGGCCATATGTAAATAATAAAATAACTTTATAACTTAAAGCAAAATTGGGAAACGTAAAGTCCGAAAAAAGTCTTTATATTAAGGACCATCAGTCAAACAATACTGTTTGGTCTGGGTCTAAACAGAGCGCGTTGTGTGTGAGGTCTTCTTTTGCGCATGCGGACCGCTTTGAGGGCCGTGAATGGTTCACACTAGAGAGCATTTGCTGAATCGGATTTGATCAAAAAAATTGGAATTGAGCATTAAGACCTGCAGTGTGAACGTAGCCTGAGTCTCCTTTAAACACATTTTGTTCTTATGGTCTTTTGTGCAAACAAAAGAAATGGCTGTTTAAACTAGAGATGGCACGATACCACTTTTTTTTTTAATGTCCGATACAGATTCCGATTTGGATATCTGCCGATACCAATATGAATCCGATATAGTATTTTTTAATCAATAAAACAGTTTTTTTAATATCTTGCTGCATTTTGTATAAGTTCATACTCAAGTTTAAAAAACACAACAGCACTAAAGCTATTCTGTTATACCTGTATGTAAAAAATACACTGCACCCAAAATATTTCATAGTTCAGCAACACTGATCAATCTAATAAAGTTAAACCTACTCCATCCTTCCTATTCTGGTATTTTAAAGAGTACTTAGCAGAAATATTAAGCAACCTAACGAATAGGGTTCCAACTCCCAGCAAAAAATAAATAAATAAAAAATAGGGAACCACCCCTCACCCTCCACCTCATGATGCTTAATCGACGTAATCAACCTTAATTTGATGCAGTGTGAAAAAAAAATGCACAGAAATCAATTATTTTTCAAGAAATATTAAATAGATTCAACATCTTTCTTCAAGAGAATTGCAGACTGCACAGATGGTACCTTCCCAAAGGAAAAAGTACTATAGCTTACAAGGGTATATTAGACTTAGTTACTATATTCAGTAATGGACTTCTATACATTTTACATCAGATTAAAACTTTGGGTTTAAGATTCAGATAATTATTTAATAAAAGCTAGACATTTTAAATGATAATAAGAAAGAAAAGTATGTCTTGTTAATGCCCTACCTGCCCCCCTGGCTAAACCTAGATCTGCCCCTGCACAGCTACCAGCTGTCAGCTACGTAAAAAAAAAAAAAGGATCCTGGTGTAGAAGGTAATATTAAATAAATTCTAACAACAGCTTATTAAGCTTAAACATGCTGCTGTTATTTAGCCTCTGGTTTCCTATTTCTGGTGCAAAGTTGGCCAAAAACAAAGAAGAGAGATGGACTCGCGACAGAAAAGCCGATCAGCTGATCATTGATCAGTTTCATGATTGAAGTAGCAGCAGGAGAGGGAGGCAGAGAGGCAGTCGCTCCATATATCAGTTGTTAAGCTTAACGTGGGAATGCTTTACAAACATTCAGAGATGAACTTACACACTTGCTTTACTGCTCTCTGGGATTACTTTGTTGGACATGAAATGTCGGATTGGTAGCGAGGCTCCAAATGCTGAACCAGACCACCGACAGGTCTCTCAGGCCACAGCCGTTCTATCACGTGACGCACACTGCTCCGACGTGCTAAGGCTATGAGCTGAATTACGCCATGTCGCAAGTTTTCTGAGGTGCTTTTGTGATATTTAATGGATCGGATTACATTTTTTATTTCTCTCCGATATCCAATCCAGGAATTTAGGTCAGTATCGGACCGATATGTAATATCGGTCCATCTCTAGTTTAAACACGGCACAAAACAGGCTCATTAAAGACAACCTGTAAGTTTTGAAATTATCACTGGTGGTACAGATACAGTGTTGGTGAAGGGAAAATTACTGTGTGATTGTTGGGATCTTCTGTTGATTTGGTGCAATTTTTTTTTTGTGTTTTAAGTTGTCTTTCCATATTACGATTCAACTTCTGTGCTTCCGTTTTAGTGAGTAAACTGGCACTAACTAGGAAATATGTTGATGCCAATGGACAATAACACGGCACCAGATCTTTACAAAAAAAATTAAATAAAATTATCCCAACGAATTAAGTCTATTTAAAAGGGCTGCGGGAAAATAAACCTAAAAAGAAATAAACCTACACTTGTTTCCAGGTCATTGTCCATTTCCATCATGTGGGTCTCATTGGGTGGAGAAGGAGGTGGCGTAGGGTCGCTGTACAAAAACAAACAAACAAAAAAAGATTGTAATAATGAATAAAAATTAAATGCAGACACACTGCAGAAGCATTTTTGTTACTGTTACTTACTTTGATATAAAAGAAGGTATTCTGCGGTGATATCCATCCCCTGAAGGTTCTGATGTTTCTGTGTGGACAGATAGGATTGAGCTCATTACACAGAAAGTAAACTGGATCATCTCAACATTATTTGAAATGGTAAACACTTTATGATGGAGTTTATCTTTATCTTATGACAGAGTACAAGATAAAATTTATATTCACTGTTTTCTACAGGATTTTTATTTATTTATTTATTTTGTTGTAATTTTGGAGGAAGTGATGTGAGAGGTGATACCGGGGGATTTGTAGCGTCCGAAGGCGGTGTCTTTGGGGATGTCGGGGTAAAGATAGACCAGGGGATTTCTGCTTCGCTGGGATGCCAGACTGTAGCGGTAAATGATATCTGGCAGAGGTAACACCGACAGCTCTTTCTTGGTGTATGGCTGGACCGCATGCACATGAGGCTCTACGGTGGGGGGGAAAAAAACACATTTCAATACAAAGCAGGACAAACCACTGCAGTCAGCAAACACACAATTTAAGGTAAATATACTTTATAGTGAATACATAATTATAACTATTCTATTTCCTCCAGCAGAGTTATTTAAATTGTCCTCAGTGGGCTCAGAAACATACCACCGTTGGAGTGGTCGACCCAGCTGAAGGTGACGGCGCCGTCTCTGCTGCTCTCACTGAACCGGATCAGAAAAGTACCGGCCTGTTTTTCCTGCAGCAGGAGGCGTGTCCTCTCCCTGTTCACAAACCCCATAATGGATCTGAAAGTCGCACACAGGAAACGCCACACCCTTCCACATTAGCACATCATCCTTATATGACTGTAATACAACTTTAAGAAATGTTGCTAATCTAAGTTTGGATGTCAGTGTGAAGTCGTACCCATCACGCCAAAGATCCACCAAGTGTTTCTTGATTAAATCGAGGATGCCATCGATCCAGATCCAGGCATTTTCGTTCTGCCTCACAGGAAAACAAAGACTTAAGCCCCTGTGTGCTCGCTGTCAGACTCAAGGAAACTACAGGAACTTATCTTAAGACCCACCTTGGAGAAGCTGCTCCAGAACACCATGCCGTCAGGATCATCTGCAGCAGCACCAACTGTTACATTTAAAAAAAACAAAAACAAAAAAAAACAACACATTACCATAAAGTGTTTTATAGTATTTATAAATTTTAATATTAGATAGTATAGTACATGTGTAATCATTGCACTATTTGTTTGTTTTTACCTGTGCACATATTTTGTATTCTTCATGTGCAAATTCAAATGTTTGCACATCAGGGCTAAGCTACTTTGTATTTTGTGCTAAGCCAACTACGTACTCTGCTTTTTACTGTATGCTACAAGCTAATGTATTTTCCATGCTAACAATCTGCTTTGCATGCTAATTGTATCATTTCAATAAAAATAAGTGATTTCCAAAATGCGAAAAAGTATTTTTATACTGATTTTATATAAAAATATATATTTTTTAACATGCAAGTAAATATTTTTTTTTTATTTGATCCTTAGTGATAGTTTTTCAAAACCAAAAAATACACAGAAACTTCAGGCTTTTAAGACTACACACAATATGCAAGATATATCTTTATATACACAGCTTAATAACTAAAATGAGCTCTAAAATTAACTCCCATCAACAACGCAAATGAAATATAAATGTCTTTTTAAAAAGTAATTGCAAAAATTAGCTTAGATTTTATTTACTTACCCATAATTTTGTCTCTTAGCATGAAGAGCTGCATTTCATCGAGCCCTCGTTTGCCAACGGTCAAAAACTGCCAGCTCAGCACCTGTGACAGCTGCTCCCAGGTGAGAGGAGGAGGATTCAGGAACAGTGACAGGTCCTAAAGGGAAAAGTCACAGAACCACAATGAAGTTTCCTGGCTTGTCTTAACAGATGTTACTAGTGTTTGTTGGCTGTGACAAAAATTTTACCCAAGGTTCACTGGTGGACACCATGTTCCACCACATGATGGAGGCCCAGGCATTGGGGACTTGATTCGTGCTGGAGATGACGACCACGGGCAAGGAGCTGGCCTGGACCAACAGCAGAGGAGGAAACCAGTCAATAAAAGTACAAACCCTCCACCACAGCAACCATTTTTAAAGATCAGGACTAGAGAACGCCATCAAAGCTGAAGTTCATGCTGCTTACCTCGATGTTGCATGTTTGTCCTGCGTACTGAAACTCTGTCACAAACTTGATGATGTGCAGCTCTTCAGTGACTACCAGATGGTTCTAAGGGAAAATAAAGAAAGTAACATGAGTAAGGCAGCAGCTCACGTCTCTAGCACTCAATTCATAAACAAAAACATGGCCTGAGAGGTATGTGGAACCAATAAAACTTTAAAATACACTTCAGTTTGATGCTTTGTTTACCTTCTTCCCATCAGTCATCTCACCTGTATTTACCTCTGTTTACCCTCAAGATTCTCCATCAAGATTTAACGGACTACATACTACTGAAACGTGTACAGTATAGTAATGCTCATAAATGCTCATGTGAAAAAAGACAATTTAAAATAAACTTCTCTTACCGCAGATGAGCTTTTGCTTCTTGATTTTCTTTCCTTGAGCGACTGAAAAAATATAATTTTTTTATAAGAAACTACAAGCTGTACTGTATAAAAGAACATATGAATGTATAATAATTAAACATAAAGCTTTGTTAACTTTGAGGATTTTCATACCATGTGCCCAAATTCTGCCATCAAGCCTCCATCTGTGTCCTCGTCCAACACCTTACAGTCGTCTCTGTTGAAATCAAAGAGACGGAACCTGCGACAAGTACAAAAAGCATCAGTACTCATTTATTACAGAAATATAAACTTTCATAAATGTATATTTCAGATTTTAGTCTACCTACCCTTTCACTGTCTTGGCTTCTGCAACATCCCTTATTTTGGTGGGGAGAAAAAAGACAAGAAAAGGTTTAAAATGTAAAAAAGGTCTTTTTAAAATAAAAGTTCAAAAAATAAATATTTCCATCTGAACTCTATGCCACTCTTTCAGACCAGCTTTTCTTTCACTTACTTGTCAAATACAGGTTTGACTCTGAACCTGCATTTGAATTCAGGGATGTTTGCCAGGAACCTGAAAAGAGAAAAGACATTTCTTTATGTTTTTTAGTTTAGCACTGGTTATTTTGGCCCAGTAAACACGTCAAAAGGTCTAGGTAAGCTCATAAACTGCTTTCAGTCAAAATGTCTCATCTCAAAACATAGCTGCTAACTCCTGTGCTTGTTAAGAAACAGTTTGTCTGTAAGAATAATTAGCAGGCAAAAGGAAAATATACCTAATGAGGTCCATCTGAGACCTCAGAGAGAAAACTGCAGTCAAAATAAGATGAACGTCAGTTTAATAAAGAAATGTTTTCGTTTTGGGGATCAGACCTGACCCTAAACTGTGTAAAGGCCACAGAAAATTGTGGGCAATATAAAGTTTTCCCTCCAACATTAAACTGCTAACAAACAGACAGACAAACAAAAGGAACTGATTACATACTCCCATTACATTGAAGCGGTGAGTGACATGAAGTCCCAGCTGACATTTGGGTTTCTCAGACATACACGTGTATAAAGTCAGTGCATGCTTACCTCACTGTGATACTGAACTGCACCCCAGTCTTCAGTATCAGAGGACGCTGTGGAAATTTCTGCATGGCGGGCTGTTTCTCCACCACCAGAGCGCTGCAATGCCAGACCACAACAGAACATGTCACTATTCATACTGTTGGTGCATCAGTGTGTGTGTCTATACATGTAAAAAAGGAGTGACTCACTTTGTGACTAGTTTTATTAACAAGGACAGCCCAAATTTCTCCATTTCTGGGATTGAAGTAGAGAGGCAGAAGGCAGGGTCAGTGCTGCTGTATTTGCTGTTCTGGTCTTGAAGTTTCTTCAGCTGTTCGCAGACTCCTAGCAGCACTTCGGCAACAGTCGAAAACCTGCACACAGAATAAAACAGGCACAAGTGCTGAGTGTAAATAGTCAGAGGAAAAACAGATTCTCTTAGACATGCAAAAGTGAGCAGAATAAATGAGCTCTAACCACTTGTCCAGGTGGTCCAGACTGGTGTCATCTTGACTTCCAATGCAGGCCAACTGCTGCCTGCGCTTCCACTCCGGCAGCTCCACATCAGTGAGAGTCGCCACGACCTTTTCTGTCTGCTTTAAAATGTTAACCAACTGATGCAGCACAATCTGCAAGACAAAAAAAAGAAAAGATTCATATGTGCGCATAAGAGAGGGAAGAGGTTTCACCATCTGACCAGTGCAGACATGATCTCTCACAGCCCGCAATAAAATCCGAACACAGCAAAATAACAGTTAAGGAAAGGTTACCCACCGTAACCCAAGGTTCTATGAGTATAACTCTGAGAGCTGTCATCTATGTTGCTGTTGGCTGTATCAGCTTATATGACTTATTTGCATTTCAAATGGCAACGTCTGAAAGGGGAAGACTGCTACGCAAAGTTGACTTAGTCCTACTGCCTATAGGTTGCTGGTTTGTTCAACCAATCAGTGCAAGGCATTCCCACCTATGTTTTTGCTCAAAAATATTTCCCCAGAAAAACAATGTTGCATTTAGTCATGATTTGGCAAGCTGCCAACATCAACATGACGCCGTGACAACATTGCTCCATGGTCACAATGCAGCAGTAACGTTACAGTACAGTGTAAATGCGATGTCACATTTATGCTGTAAAAACATTTACAGTTACGGTTTTGTAATGTTACTGCGACCTAGTTTTACATTTCATGCTAGGATTAGGTAATTACGTATATATGTAATTTGAAACATGAAGTAGAACAGACCAATAGCAGATAATAGATGTTTCTACTAAACTGCCCCAACCAGTTTGTTTCTAGATTTCTATGCAAACAATCATGAAAGAAATCTATGACATGAACATTTTCTATGAAGCTTTCATAATAATTGCACAAAAATATCAAAATGAATGTGGTTTATCCATTTAGACTAGTTGTTGTAGAGACCCACCTTTTGGCACATCCCAGCACACCCACTCACTTCACCAGATGCACCTTGTTTAGTTCTCTCACCTTTGATTGGGTGTGGTGCTTGTCCTCAATTGCACTCACCTGTCACACATTATATGTCACACATTATATAAGGACTGCATTCACTTTTGGCTCACTCTTTCTTCACTTCCACACGGGGCAGCAGCTGAGGTGAGGTTCTATTTGGGTTTTATTTTATGTCTTGTTTAAGGGAATGAGTAACTTAAATCTCTGTTTTCCTGTTTTCTTTCAGCTGTGGCAGTCCATGTGTGTCTTTGTTTCCTTCCTTCTTTGCCTTATTTATTTGAGAATAAAAGGAGAACCCGGAGAATAATTCTGAATTAGATGGCTGCTTATTCTTATTCTAACCGGATGAGCCCATGATGCTGATTGCTTAAGCCCTGAACCTTCCTTCCTTCAAAACACTAGTTTACACCACTAATGCCAACATTTCATCAAACATTTACCATATTATTATTATTTATCATACCTCCTTTGTTTGTGTTATGAAGACTGCATGTTTCTGACATTCCTGATCAACAATATGTTGGGACTGGGCCAAATCAGTGTTCTCCTCCACTGGAAAAGGAAGACAAGACACTTGTGTCAAAAACAACTGAGTGACAAACCAGACCTGCCAATCCTGCCAAGCAACTCCTGGGCTGACAAATGGGACTGAACTAGTGGCCACTTGAGGTTGACTCTGACAGTGAGTCAGAGTCCCCATAGACTCCCATATTAAAATGCCCAAATTTACACCACAACATCACCTTGTTTTCAGCCTGCTACAAAAAACTGTTTTAATCTTTGCAGATACTTCCCTCCTTCCCTACTTTGAGGGGCATGGCCAGTTTGATTGACAGGTGACAGAGGCATCGGTAGCTGTCAGATGTCTGCTGGGCTTCCGCTCAGCTAACCGGAGTCACTGCAGTGTTTGTGCCTTTTTAAGGATGGGCAAGGGCTGTGTTGAGTTACGGCCTCAGTTTTGATTAGTGAAATTTCTAGGATTTTATTACTAATCACACTGCTAAAATTAATGCTTTAATGTCGTCCACACTTCAAAAACCAGTAGATAATGGCATGGCGACTATGTCCATCTTTTATATACAGTATGTGGTCGTGCTATCGTACCTTTATTTTGCCAGGCCATCAGAATATAGTCCAGTTTTTCATTCAGACCCTCCAGTGTCTTGATTTCCTTCTTGGTCTCCTACATTAGAGTAAAAGTGCATTGGTTTAAAAACCAAAAGGAAAACATTTATCTTTCTTGGAAGGCTGAAAATAAAATCCCAGTAATCTTACCAAAGTCTGTCGCTTCAGTTCATTGACTTTGTCGTCCAACTCTCTCCAGCTTTGTTGCATGCTTGAATTATTGCAACTCTGACAAAAACAAGAAGGTTCTGTCACATGTTTGCAATTATTATCAAATATTTATTTATAATTAAAATGTATATTTACATTTCCTTTCCTCTAGTTGTGATCACACTTTCGCTCTAACGTGTTGCCATATTTGCTTTGCTATGACTCACAATGCTACGTTTTCTGTTAGCATGAGCAATTTTTACAGTTCCACCTACTCACTGGTCCGGGAAAATGTATTTCTGCCGTTAATTGTAACTCTCTCTATAAGCAACCCAGGCACATGTTTACAGTTAGTGTGCATCAAAGCTATGATTCTACTAAAATCTTTTCATATCTACTTTTGGTTAACTGCAGTGACCTTGGGACAGACCTGTCTGTGTAAATATGACTTAGGAATGAAACCAGGCTCTTCATTAGAACAGCATTTAACTGACCTGAGGCTGAGAGACCGAAGCCAGAATTTGCTTTTCCTCCTTCAGGCATTCAGACAGAATTAGGGCCAATTTCAGCGGCTCACCCTGGAAATCCCCCTAAGGAGCAGAAAGAACCACGCAAATCATTACTGGAAGTGTATTTTCAAATAATTAAATTTTTTTCTGCACAGAGCATCATATCTGTTCTACCAGCAGGTAGTCCTTCATCCTGGAAAAATCTGGCCCCTGCAGAATACTGTTCTCCTGAACAGAACGATTCCACTGCTCTTCTAGAAACACCAGGAGAGCCTGGAAACAGGTTCTGGCTCTGTGCTCGTCCACAGCTGCCGAATCCCTAATGCAGAGAAACAGAAGATTTAACTGCAGAACTGCATCTGTTTGCATGTGCTGAAAAACAATTTACGATTTCACAATCTTCCTTACATCATACTGTACAACTTACTATATTATTAAGTTAAAGCTCTTTAATCTTAGACCATAACTATTTTCCCTGCTCCTGCATCCAGCCCCGTCTTACCAGTCCTGGTTCTCGATCCAGGTGCTCAGATAGTGGCGAATCTCTTTGGGAAATCTTCTCTCGTACAGCTGGCAGACCCGGCTCTGGAGTGCAGAGTCCAGCTTCAGAAGGGCCTGCCACTGAGCCATCTGTAGTCACAAAGACACAAACCTCTTTTTACGAGTTCAGGGCCTCTGATTGGTCCACAGATGTGATAGGAGTCTTTACCGTTATTTTCCTCCATTTTATTAACAGAAATATATCTTACGCTAGAGTAATTTAAGATAAAGTTTTATATAGATTAAAAATCTGTTTTTAAGTGTGGCCTGGCCAAGAGGGCAGCCATGACTATATATATATAACCATATATAATCATAGGGTGGCTGTAGCTCAGGTGGTAGAGCAGGTCATCTACTGATCGGAAGGTTGGTGGTTCGATTCCCGGCTTCCCCTAGTCTGCAAATATCCAAATATCCAAAAATCTCCAAATATCCTTGGGCAAGATACTAACCCGAAATTGCTCTCCGATGCATTCATCGGAGTATGAATGTGTGTGAATGTCAGTTGTGCTTGTGCGAATGGGTGAATGCACAAGTTGTGTAAAGCGCTTTGAGTGCTCAGAAGAGTGGAAAAGCGCTATATAAGAACTAGTCCATTTACCATACAAATGTGACTGACGCTCACTGAAAAATGTGTACCGCCAATCGTCAGATCACATGTTGTAACAAGTGCAGTTTCAAAAGTGATCACACTGACAGTTTAGTCCTTAGTCCTTAAAAGCTGACTTAAACTCCCATGCAGTTATATTTATCTTATTTATCAGCCAAAGGGAATGTCTGTGGACACAGAACGTGGAAATCTCAAAATAATTCGAATAAGCACAGCACCAAAGTGAGGTGTGAGTAATGATGACCTGATTAGTTTTATGTGTTTATGTAATGCAAAGCGATTGTGGTGGCGTATTGATGTCGCCAGCTATCGGTAAATAATGTAACTGAGCTCACTGGAAAGTTTTGCCCCGCTCTTTAATATAATCGGAGGGGATTTCCAAGAAATGCAACAACACCGCAGCAACTTCAAGAACCGAGGATTTTCATTTATTTACATTTGCCTTTTTAACAGCTTTTATCAGACAATTACCTACTTCTAAAAATCAGGATCGCGCACATTTAGGAGGAAAAGTGGGCCATAAGCTGCGCACAAGGCTGCCCGCAATAGAACTAAAGTTGTTTCTTTGCGCAGAAATCATGACTTACCTTGGTGGGTGGCTCTTTGTCGGACAGGTGAAAGCAGGACAAAAATCACAAGCGACCTCCAGCCTTCTGATCTGGCTGTTAATTCTTGCCTTAAGAACGAGGACGCGAACTTCCGTTCCACACGCCCACTCACACTCACCACGTGATTCTCCAGAAATCGTCCTGCTGGGTGCGTAAAGCTGGCAAGAGCACCTGGCTGCAGCCGCCGCACAGCTCGACATCCGGCAAGTCACAAAGTAAAGAAAAAATAACAACAGCCAGATGTTGAAACCCTGAAAACAGCTGTTTTATGTGCAGGTTTCAGCTCAGTTTGGTGGGCTGTTGCACATCAGCGCTCATGAACCCGTTTTTATCCGTTTTTTTCCACAATGCTTTTTCTTTCTGCACATTTCTATTGCACTGTTGTGTCTGCACTGTCTTGTGTCTGTATCGGTCTGTACTGTCTGGTGTCTTTGTTTTGGATTTTTGCACCTTCTTTTCCCCACACTGCTAAATCCCTGTAATCTCTTCCCAACAACCTTTTTCCTATTTAGAAACAAAATTACCCTCTACAACATGGGTCTCACACTGGCAGCCCGGGTGCCACTATATTGACGTGAAGAAATATAATGCAGTTTGGCTCTTGAAGTTACTTTTTTTGTTAGGGAAGATTTGTTTGTTGTTGAGTGCAATGCTAAAATAAGTTATTTAAAAAGCAAAAAATGAGTTAATATGAAGGCAGTATAAGAGAATTATTTGTAAGGAAAACTATTTTCACTAGCAGTCAAAAACTATGTCTGCATTTCTATTGAGTTAAATACAAATACAATACATGTTCTATTTAACTGATTTAAGCTGATTTAAGCTGAACACATTTATTAGAATTACAATTTATACTGAAATCAAGTTTATACTACTATGTTATTTTATTATTAATACAGCACAAGATTCAGTTGCCTTTGTACAAAAACAGCTGGCAGAAAAGTCCTCCAAAGAGCTACTTTTACATTCTTACTTTGAGTAAATATCAGAGACAGTACTTTTTTACTTTTTTACTTGAGTAAAGAAGTTGAATCAGTACTTGGCTTATGTTTAAAACACTAGCATCTGTACTTCTACTCAAGTACAGAATGTCTTACTTTTGGCACCTGCGTTACTAATCAGAAGATCCAGGGTTTGATCCCTCGGTCCTTCAGTCTGCATGCAGAAACATCCCTGGACAAGAACAGACACTGAACCCCCATCCATTCACTGAAAAATGCTGTAGCTCCACCTACCACCCCCGCTTCCATGTTACTTTTCTTTAAACTAGAAGTGACTATATTTGGATGAGAGGGTGGGGAGCTGAGCTTTCAGCTCACAAGTTTCCTCCATTACTCACACAGGCGTAACTCACAGAGACAGAGACCAGAGGTCAAATTCTGGGACTCAAAGGAGTGGAAATGCCGAAAAGACATTTAACACCTGCCTGTGTCTGAACACACCTGTCAGTCAAAGCACCAAGATTTACTTTTTATTTTGGCATTTTTGATCTTCTGTAATACAAAGTTGTACTTTTTAAGTCAACACATTCTTTAAAAAAATGTTCAGCCATGCTGTTGCATAATAACCTGACTGTGGCCAGAGGTTCACACATACAGTAAATAATCTGATTAGGAGTAATGGGGATTCATGAATAACATGGTATAAATAATGATTTATTCTTTATGATAATAATTTCTGAGCAGCAGCAGCAACACTGAGACACCTCAGCCGTGTTTTTTGCTGTTGTTGGTTTTTTTGCTGTTGTTGTTTTTTTTTACTTCCGCAAGAACCCAAATACAGCCTCACCCTTCAACAATCACCGAGAATCACGTGATTCTCCAGAAACGCCGTAAGTAAAAACCGCCAAGCAGCAGCAGCTGTTACATGCCGACGTCTCACTTCCTACTGCTTTCGAAATAAAAGCACAAAACCTCGGTGCTGTTTCAGTGAGGTGACCAGCAGGGGGCAGGAGAGCTGAGCGACTGTGTGAATGAGTTTAAGACAAAGGGAATCAAAACACTGCGTGTATTTAACTTTTTTGCCAATAACAAACAGGTAAAAGAGACAGATGCAGACATAAAGTATCAAAATAATGTCAACTACAAAAAACATAAACAAAACATGTTCAGATTGATTTATATACAATTCATTTCTTATAGAAAAACATGACTGAACATGCAAAATATTAAAGGCACAAAACCAGCATGATACAAACTTTTCTTTCATGGACAACAAAGCAAAATATGCTTTAAAAACACATTAACCACAAACTCTGTAAAAACAACAGCCTCACGGGAGTCACGATATTGACAAAGGATTCAAAGAAGCTCCAGATGCAGATGTTTTTTTCTTCCCTCTTTTTACTCTGAATACGGAGAGCTCATCTGTAAACGCAAAAAGAAGAAAAATATTAGCGGCATAACATCGGGACAGATTCAACAAATTCTAAGCTTAACCAAAAAGCAGTCTTCCGTTTCAGCAAGGCTAATCAGAGGCAGTCTTCAATTATTTAATCTCAGCCTGCGATCACAGGTCAACAAGAAATGTAATCTGATTACAGTCAGACTGTCGGCAAACACAAAAAAACAATTAAACTCCATTTAATCCAAATTTAAAATCCTAAAACATTGACTTCATGAATATTCACATCATCTCATGTGAGACAACTTTCCATCAGTGTGATTGATTACAACACAACAATTCATCAATCACTGATCAGTGTGCCATGTTTCAACAGTGTTTGCAGAAATGTCTCTGCACTGTTCACAGTCTCACAGAGACTTTGAGCTGATAATAAATCTGATGTAACTGTCGTCTCAGTCTTTACGCTCAGGAGTTAACGATAATAAAAATGCTTGCTTTAAATACAGAAAATATACAAAACCCAGATTTTTGGCGTTTGCCACTTTGGTCCTAGTCGCAGTAATGTGTAATCTCTAACTTCTGATCTTTTATAGACTACGTTGACTTGAAAAAAGCAGAATAAGGAATTTACTGTTTTTATTATGAGGTTTCCAGAAGTTTTCCACATTTGACCTTTTTCTATTTTAGCTCTACTGCACAGAGCGATAAGAGTTAAGAGTTATAAGACACATACAGTGTCTTATTCATTTACAATAATAAAGTGCATATTATTACCAGTATTATCCACTAAGTACAATAATGTAAACTTACGGTGTCGATGTCGAAGCACAGGTGCTCATTGAGCATGTCAAACTCTCCAGGTGTCATCGGGGGCTCCGGAGACTGACACGACCGCGGGGTGGTGCTCGCGTTGGAGCTGAAATACATTAAAAGAGACATTAAAATCCATTTTGCCTGTTCTGAAATTCAGCTTAAAGTTAACTGAGCTCGACTTGAGTGAAATATGAACTCACCGCATTTCTGAGATGGGGATCAGGGTTGATGGGATGTAAGGATGCACTGGAAGTTTAACAGAGGTTTATATTAATATTTAATTCGACCTGAGAATTAGCCTGAGAGTTTCCCAGCAAAAACTTAAACACTTCACCTCATAATTAGATCTTACCTTTGCTGGGCTGGCTGTTGTAAAGCCGCCCGAAGGCCTCGTCTTTGGGGATGTCGGGGTAGAGGAACTTGAGTGGGTTTTCGGGGACAACCCCGTCTGAGATCACTTTGTAGTCTCGAATGATGTCGGCGAACGGGAGCGCGCTGAGCCGGTTTTTAGTGTAAGGCTCCACAGAGTTAAACTTCACCTCACCTGGTGTGAAAAGTTACTGTTAGCAAACTTTGTTGTCCACTGTCAGCAAAGCAAGTAAAACCGCACAGATTTTCTATCAACAAAGTTTATTTAACGGTCTTATCATAGTTAAAGGTTTGGTATACATTTGCATTTTATTACCACACGTGGTCTGATGATGTTGGTTTATGGGAAATCTCACCGTTATCGCCGTGCTCCACCCAGGTGAAGGTGATTCCGCCGAGGTGGCTCTCGCTGAAGCGTAACAGGAACGTGCCTGGCTCTTTGTCCTTCAACAAGGCTCGCTCCATCTCTTTACTCACAAATCCCATGATGTAGCTGCAGAGGCGGTGAAAGACAAAAGAAATTTAGGTTTTTGGTTTCAGCCAGTGAGATCTGTTGTCCAATTTCACATTTTAGATCTGCCATTCATACGAAGTTTATCCTAATGCATTTTGAAGCTGCACATTTCTAAGACCGGGTTGTAGTCTGCAGGTTATATCTGGCACCTGCAGACATCCATTGATGCCATTTTTTGGGATAAAGCCTTTATAAAGGCATCTAAATTTGGCTGACATACACACTTGAACTCATAATAATTTCTGTTGATTCAAACTCTAAAAAGACAAGAAATCCTCCCAAAAAAAACCCTTAAAAATTAAAAAACCTCTAACTACTAAAGCAGCAGCATTAACAATAGATGTAAGCATTAATTACCTAATAGAAATGTATATTTATGCCACATTTTGTTTTCATTTAGTTCTGTATTTACTTTCCATTTGAGTTTCCATGCATTTGTCCTTTCCATTTCCTTCTATGCAAATGAGGGCTTAAACTTGTCTCTGATTGGTTAACACCAGATGCTGTGCTCACCGCAAGAACCCATATTGATGTTAATAAATTTAATGAAAATTAATTTTATTGTAATGTAATATTAAATATATTAATATTTTATAAATGTATCTAACTGTTCTGTCTTTCCCAACTGATGTTGGCAGTTTTGGTCCTTCATATATGTTAATGCTAGCGGTTCATGTATCTAATAGCCCTTTCATCTTTTTGTGGAGTTGTTTTTGTTTGTTTGTTTGTTTGTTTTTAGAAGTTGTCACATTTTCTGTTTATGATCTTTCAGCCGGGACACGATGACCTACTTCTCATTCCAGACCGGCAGCAGGTGCTTCTTGATGAGCTCCAGGATCGAGTCGAGCCACATCCAGAAGCTGAACGGCTTCCCTGGAATATTCTCCTGTATGATTGGAAGAAAAGAGAGTGAGAACCTTCTCGGACTTTAAATTGAAATTAGATACGATGTGGGATAAAAATACATGACCAACATTAACAACACAGCAGAAGGTTTTATGACTGCCACTAGATGGCACAATAACACAGAAAATAATGGTACTATGCCGCTCATGCTCATATTATCTAAGACTCACCTTGGAAAACTTGGACCAGGACACTTGATAGTCGCTGCAGGAGGCATGCTGACCTACAGAGACAAAGAGAAACTATCATAAATGGCCGTCCCAGGAAAACAAGGTCAGCAGCTTTTTAGTTATTCTCTGAACTTGTTTTAGAAAATTCTTTGAACTCTGTGAGCAGCAGCACTACTGTACTAGTGTGACCTTCCCCGTGTGGGCATAAAGTGGTTTTACTACAGTTTCCGAGACAAACAGCATGTTGTCATGAAGCTTTGAGGCTTTGAGGTACAAGTTCTCATCAACAACAAACCCACCGAATCAAAACGCAGCACATGCGCAACGGCCTGTCATGGTGCCTTTTTCATAGGCTTCAATAGTAATCTGGGAAATTTCAATAAAAGGTAATATATCTTTCCTCCTGGAGCTTATTTATCTCATAGAGCAGAGTCTGTGGAATGATAATGAATATAAAAACCTGGTCATCTGTTCCTGCCTATGTTACATCCCGGTAAAGCAAAATTTTTAACCAAACAGGTAAAGGAAAGGAAAAGGATGTTTAGCTACAATAAAGATGAAAGTACAGAACCAGTGTGAGAGAGAGATCTCAGGGTTTGTCTGTTTTTTGCCTTAATTCATTTATATTCATACAATTTACTATTTTCACACAGTGGGATGCTGAGCAGACAGATCAGGAGCAGGCGATATACAGCGGGGTGTAAAACTGTCTGCCCCATTCCTGATGTCCTTGTGTTTTGCATATTTATCACACTTAAATGTTTCAGATTATACAACTAATTTAATATTAGAGAACACAGCACGAGTAAAATATTTAAATGTAAATGATTATTTCATCGATTAAGAGAGAAGTTATCCAAACCCACCTGGCCCTGGTTGAAAAGGTGATTGCCCCTTTTGTTAAATTGTGACTAACCACATCGTTTGGAAAGTAAAGTTTAGCGTCACTAAACAGACTCAGGCCTGATTACTGGCAGACCTGCTGAATCAAGAAATCACTTTAACAGAACCCGTTTGACAAACTGAAACTAAATACCTCAAAAAGCAACTTATCATGAGCAAAATGAAGACTGGAGTGGCCTGCTCAAAGTCCTGACCTGAATCCAATTGAGAAGCTGTGGTTTATGCTGGAAAACCCTCCAATGTGGCTGAACTGCAACAGTTCTACAAAGATGAGACAACTTCCTCCACAGTTATTAGGTTCAGGGGGCAATCACTTTTTCACGCAGGGTCATGTAGGTTTGCATCTTTATCCCTTAATAATAAACACCTTCATTTAGAAACTGCATTTTGTGTTTACTTGTGTTATCTTTGTGTATTATTTGAATTTGTTTGATGATCTGAAACATCAAAGTGTTACAAGCATACAGAAAACAGAGCATCAAAGAAGCATCAGCTTCATTTTTAGCTTCTTTGATTTGTTGGGATCTGATTGGGTTAAAAAAACAAAACAAAAAAAAACGCCGTTGTTCATCACCTTTAATGCTACTTTTGGTCTTTTAGAGTGATTTGTTTGACTGATCAGACCAAGCTCCCTGTTGTTTCACGTGAAGTCTGGCTCAGCTTGAAGCAAACGTGTTTGCTTTATGCATAAACTTGAGGTTGAGCGAGTAGCGGAAGTGGTCAGCAATATATAAGAACAGCCACGCTGGAAGGGTGATTCACTGGATTTAAATGAGGTAAGGCTTTTCATTTTTATAGACCCTCTGATCGCCCCTCAGAGTTTCTCTGCTATGCTGACTTTGACTTTATAGCTGGACCAGTCTGATACTTGGCTCGAATAACGTTTCTGGTTCTTCCCCTTTTAAACTGAGCGACTTTCTGGAGTCTCTGCACCACCTACATGCTTGAATATCTCTGCTGGCGTGTGGTTTCACAATGACAGAGGTGTCGCTTCACCCTCCATAAACAAGTAAACACTCTCCCACCTCTCTTTAGATGTTTCTGCCTTCAGCTTTAACTTTCTGTCCTAATTAGCTTGTTAGCTTGCAGTTGTCTTCTTAAGTATAATATTTTACTGTTTGCTGTGTTGGAAGATGTTTTTCCAGGTTAACGACTTTAAAGCCACATGTTTTTATTTATTTTTTCTTAATCTTCAACCTTTGCGAAAGAACAAAACTAAAAGACAAACATACCAAAGAGCTTTTCTCCCAGCATGGTGAGCTGCTCTTTGTTGAGGCCTCGCCCGGCAAAAGTGGAGAACTGCCAGCTGAGGACCTCAGAGAGCTGGCTCCAGCTGGCCCGAGGAGGGTTCCCAAAGAAAGCCAGGTTCTGTGGAGGAAGATGGAGAAGGTGAGGGAGGCTGTGAAGCATAAAAAATGAAAACAAACATCTCCAAAACAGCTGGAGAACATGAGCTACAGTTACAGAAGAACCAGAGTAAATGGAACATCAGCAGAATTTGTTGTCACGCTCTGGAAGTCAAAGACTTGGAATTTAAGTCAGTTTTCTTCTTGTTTTATTTATGAACTGATGTTAAACTCAGGAGATGGGGGTGAATTGCAAGATTTATTTGTAATTTATGTCATTTTGATGCTGTTAATCGCGCATCTGCTTTGGGAAAACCAATTTTAGAGACTTGAAAAATGCAGAAATGCCCTGTGAAGATCCGCACAACAGAGGTCGACTGAAAAAATAAAATCTGTGTTTCTTTATTTATTATTATATTTTATTTTAAAGATAATAGAAATGAATTTATAAAAACAAAGGCTTTTAACAAAGATGTCCAGGTGTGTTCAAATAAGTTGAGCTGAAAGTGATTGTTTGATTCAGCTCAACTTATTTCATTTAAAACTTAAAACTTTCAAATGAATGAATTTTCTGTTTTTAGAAGAAGTCCAGTATGGCTCACCCTCGGCTCATCAGTCAGGAGGTTGTACCACATGACGGAGGCCCAGCCTCCAGGCAGCTGGCTCACATTGGAAATCACAACGAGCGGCAGGGAACACGTCTAGAAAATAAAAATAAATATTAGTAAATTATTTTGTAAATGAACAGCAACAAAAACAAGTTTGAAATAGATCTGCTCTGCCGCTGACCTCCAGGTCGATGGCGAGGCCCTGCACCGTGAAGCAGGCCTCAAAACTGAGAGAGTGAAGTTCTTCTGTCACAGAGAGCAGGCCCTGAAAAATAAAACACTGAAACATCAACTGGCGTTCAAAGGCAGATTCATTGAATATGATGCACAAATCCATCTGAAGCAGCATTAATGGTCACTGCGGAGGACAGAAACTGCCAAATCAGGAGCAAATGATGCTATACATCAATTAATATGTCATTAAATACATTAAATATTAATTAAGCCTATACATTAAATAATTTACAAACTATGGCACTGATAGCTTTGCTTCAATATTTACTTACCTTTGTATTAATTCCCTAATTTATCTACTTTCCCATTCAATGTTTACATTTATTTAAATGTATTAGTTACATGATGTATTTCTGAATCAACCATGAAGCATGGGGTTGTGTCATGAAGGGCATCCAAAAGCAGCTGAAAATCAATTTAGGTCATATCTTATAAATGAATAAGACCTATATGGATTTAAAATAATGATTTATTTACTTTAGAAATACAAATAAACACAATACACTGCAAATAATAAAAATATAATAAATAAAATAGAAAATTTTATGGGAAGAAAATACTACAAATAGTACAAAAAATGCAAAAGAATAAGATTTTTTTAAAATCAGTTTAGATTATTTAAAAAAAAAAAATCCCTACACTTTTTGTGGACTTCATTAAATATGAACTTATTTACAGAGTCTCTTTTATTTGGCAGTTTTCGTCCTCCGTAGTTCATCTACATTTCTTACCTCGTTCCCTTTGGTGCCGTTGATATATTTCTTCTCTTTCAGCTGCTGTAAAACACAAACTCTGAGTGAGATGACTAAACACCATTTTAAATAAATGGTTAAAGGTTCAATGAAAGAACCAGCTAAACAACTGTCAACATTTGTTAGAGTTTTGTCCTACCAGATGTCTGAACTCCACTGAGAGGCAGCCGTTTGAGTAGTCCTCAATGTCCATAACTTTAGTGTTGTTGGTCAGGATGAAAAACTGACGACTTCTAAGGAGAAAAGGAGAAAAAACTTGATTTTCTTATCAATGTTTACCAGCATCCATCTATAAGATGGACTTAATTCAGAGGATGAAGTGTTTGTGGATTGTTTTAGACAATAACATAAACCATATTTAAAATCTGTATGTAGTTTTCAAAATAAAACACTCCACTTATTTTACTGTAAAGGTTTTTAAATCAGGGCGATTTTAAGAAGATTCAGCTGCAGACTGTCCTTCCTGCAATGTATAACATCGTATATAATCTGTCAATACATGTATAAATCTAAAACAGAGATCTATAAAAGAAAACCAAGCTGATTACATTTCGCTGTAAATTTTTTTGTTATAATTTGCAGATGAAATCTTTAAAGCCCACATATCTTTATGGATTTTTGAACAACTGACAAGTCAATAAGTTATAACAAAGTCAAGTACATTATGCGAGTGTTTCCTGTCTTCCTATTTCCTATTGCTTTTCCTGTCTGTTCCAGTGCGCGGTATCAGGCTAACACTACCAGAAGGTGGCAGTAAACACCAGCTGTTTAAACAGCAAAAATTGAAGAAGTGCTACTTCTATAAAAGTGAAGTTCAGGCAATTGGTTCTTAATGAACATCGAGTATTTTTGCTTTGTATCCTACTGAGAACCGAGGAAAAAAGCAAGAGAACAAGTAAATCTATCACGGCATGCCTGTATTCATTCACATCTCAGAAAACATTCTCAATCAGTCACTTTTCTTTTCTTTTTTAATCCATTTGCTTTCAGTAAACTCCTATAGCTTTTAAGGTGACTTTAACCTAATAATATGTTTTTTCTGCATCTGGTTTTACAGGAAGTTAGAGGCAAAGTTCCCCCGAGGTGCATGTTTGGTTTCCAAGTGCTTTTTCAAACCATATTTACACCTGGTAACGCCAAACAAATAACACACCAGTGAAGCCATAAAACAGGAAGCTTTAGGGCTGATTTTGGCTTTTAATCTTTAAGTTCTTACCCCCTTACAGACATTTCATTATTTTTTTCCCCATCTTGAATTTGTATGATGTTAAATCAGAGTGGATATCCCTGTATGAATACCTCGGGCACAGATGCTCCGCCCACCTGCTATTCAAACCTTTTGCTTTCAAGGGGGAGCCTATCAGAAGTTGTCTTAAAGAGGAAGAAGCTAAAACAGGTTATTTCATGTAGAGAATTAAATGAGGGGGTTCTAAAGTCCAGTATTAGATAAAGTACTATTATTTCACTAAACCATGCCTAACTACTGTATTAGCGAGCAGATTAGGTTGCTTTTAATCTGGTGCTGTTTCCTGTTCTTGGACATTTAGTAGTAGCACGCTTAGACAGTTTGTACTCACACTCTGCCCGGGGGGAGGTCCCTGCAGAAACACACAAGCACAGCACACAACATTTTTACCTTATTTTTATTCAAGCAATGAAGACAGGTTTACTGTGGGGTCCATTTAATAAGAAAATAAATCATCTTACTTGTCAAATGTTGTTTTCACTTTCAGCTGATAATCCACTTCTGGAAGTTTAACCAGGAGTCTGCAAGAAATCAGAATAAACTGAAACAAACTGTAACCCAACGGCAGAAACAAATCCTGAAACAACAAGATGTCACATCACCATACCTGACTTTGGTGGTGAACTGTACTCCAGTCTTAATGATGAGGGGTTTCTGTGGATGTGTGGGCATACATGGCTGCTTCTCCACCACAAATGAGCTGTGAAAAAAAACCCACACCTCGATTTACAATTTCACTTTAACACCCCAAGCTTGAGAGAGAACATTCAAACCACAGCTGGCCGTGTTCCTCCTCCGGTAGTTACCACTTTTCGGTTTATTGTCTAATGTGTTGTCAGAAGCTGAAGGAGAGGAGGAAGTCGTGTTTTTCATTTTTCAGAGCACTGAAAGTTGTTCTGCACAAAGATGAATTGGGCTGGGATCCCTTGCACTGCTTATTACACATCTGCGTCTCCTCCTCTCCCGTGTGGCATCCCTCAAGGCTCAATCCTGGGACCACCTTTGTTTTCATTATATAGGTTATCTTTCGGCTAATAACTTAACAGCTTCAGTGGTATCTAGTACCATTTCTTTCTTTCTTATCTCAGTGAATGTGTCACTAATTAATGAATTGTCCTCTATCTTACTCCTGGTAAAACTGGGGTTTTTGTGTTAGGCTCTGACAGTTTCTCTAATGAGACCCAACATTAAATCACTACTCTTATTATTATAGATGAAGCTACACAGCTGTCAACAGGTCATTAAAATCATTTCAAGCTGCTGCAGCAAAGAGATATACACAAAAAAGAATCAATAACTGTGATTCAGCATACTCTTAAGTAGATTCTGCTACTCAAACTATTGCACTTTTACTTCAATTTTAGTTTTGTTTAATAAATTAAAAGCATCTAAATACTTCTTTTCATAACAGGGTTTAATTTTTTGTGCAGCTAATTTCAGAGGTGGGAAATAACAAAGTAAAAATACTTTGTTATTGTACTTAAGTAGAATTTTTAGTTATTTGTACCTTACTTGAGTATTTGTTCTTCTAGCCTTTTACTTTTACTCCCTACATTTTAAAACAAATATCTGGACGTTCTATTCTATTTCTGTTACATTTTGAAAACGGGCTTATTACATTTGGTTTGATGCATTTGAGGGGAGTTATTATTTCACATCGCCGAGGGGCTTCAAACATCAAACCGATCTGAGCCCAACCAGTAACACATGAGAGGCAATCCTGTTCACGTATTAATTATCCGGGGAATTTGCATAAAAATAGGTGAAAAAGGCAAAACCATGTGCCATAGTCAGGGTTAAAGTGGGCCGGTGTTTTGTTTTGGGGTTTTTTGTTTGTTTGTTTTTTTGGCTCAACGGAACGACTGCAGGTGTGCATAAGTTGGGGTTCTTCAACATCTAGCTAGCCATACAGAAGACGAGCGGCAGGTAATTTCAGTCACCCTGCAGAAAACAGAGCTTTTTTCCCTCTGGTCATGTTCTATTTACCTGATTCAAGAGTACCTTTTATTAGAATTAAAATTTAGACTGAAATAAAGTTTGTATTCCTGCTGATATTATTTTATTATTATATTAATATAGTACAAGGTTCACTTTACTTTGCATAAAAATAGGTGTTGATATGTTTTTTAAGGTTCTATAATTTTGCTTTTTTACGCTGAGTACATTTCTTAGCCAGTACTTTTTAACTTTTACTTGAGTAAAGAAGTTGAATCAGTACTTCAACTTTTACATGAGTATTTTTTAACACTTCATTCATTTCAAATTAAATATTCTCGTTCACATTTAAAAAAAATAAAAATCATAGAAATACCCCCACATGCAACACAGATTTCTTTCACAAATGCTAAAGGAATAAAAGGTCTTCTGCTGAGCTGTGTTGGTACCTCTTGATGAGATGGTAGATGAGATATTTCACTCTCTCTTCCATCTGAGGCTTTTGCAGGGGTATTGGGTCGCTCTCATAGGTCACCTTCACCACCAGCTCCCCCAGTTTGTCCAGCTGACGCTTGATCTGGAAAAGGCTCTGGGCAGTCAGGGTGAACCTGAGAGAAGCGAAGAATAGGATGAGGGCAGAGAATTTATCTGATCTTTATTTAACAGCATAGTGCCACCTTAAAATCTGTTACCTCTGCCAGTTAGTTACAATATACTCAATTATTTTGCTCGATAGTAAACTACTTAACTGACAACTGACAATTATAGAAGATCGTTTCTGCCACTGAAAAAGAAAAATGGCTGGCAATTAAAAGAAATTAAAAAAACAAACAAAAACAAAGTGTTTTTCAGTCACAGAAACAAGCTTCCATAGTAATTATACTAACGAGTTAGCTATATAGTTAACCAAGTAATATTCGTGCCAAGTTGGGTGACATATAGCATAGATTTTACAGTATATATCACAGGGTGTCATATGTACTGGGAAATTAATATTCAATCTATAAATAAATATTTATTAGAAATAATGTATACATTTATTTTTTTGTATAATGAATTTATTTCAGATATACAAATGGTACTTAACTATTACAAATACAACAGATATACAACCATATGTCCTGTTTACATAATTTATTAATATTATTTTGGCATTTTTGGGCTTCCATACAAAGTACTTAATTAGCATTAGCAGTAAGGATTTCTGACTTTTTGTTGGAGGTCATTACCAGCTCTGCAGCTGCTCCAGCCCGGTGAGCAGAGGACCCCCGATGGCAGCAATCTGCTGCCTTCGTTTCCAGTCCTGCAGCTCGGGGTTGAGCTGAGAGGTCATCAGGTCGTCAATCTCTTTGATCACAACGTCCATCTTTGATAAAATCTCCTAACAAAGGCATGAAATACAGTGTTTATGGCTGATAACCACACTGTGAATGAATTTTTTTATTTGTACACCTTCATATATTTTTGTCACGTTTCAGAGCTTTGCATGTGCGTACCTTCCTTTTAAAGTCAAGCCGGTTTAGCATTTCCTGTAGTCTTGTTACTTCCTGTTTCATCACGTCAGAGTTTCTATCAGTTGATTCTGACACAACCACAAAAACAGTAGTATGAAATAAGAATTCTAAAATAGTAAATGACTTTTTATTTTTACAACTTGTAAAATGGCTCACCTCGAGACTGCAGGGTCTTGTAGCGGAAATCAAAGTCATCTTGCATGTCCTCGATGTATTTCACAGCCTGGTCCATCAACTGGAAACAGACATTTTTTTGTGTGAAATTCATCAATAAAATTCAGCTTTGTGTTTTCTCCATCTTGTATTGAAGGTGTTTGAGTTACCTGCACGCTGCCCCTGATGATCCCAACTCTGTTGTCCATGTTCTTCTGCCTCTCAAACGCCACAGAGTTCTGCAAAGACTTCTCCAGAGGACCCTGTAAAAAAAAAAAAAAAACCAAAACAAACATTTACAACTTTGCATTTCTGAACAGACTGTAATCTGTAATCTTTATTTACTTCTGATTTAACCATATCAACATTAATGACATGACTCTCTCATATGTCTGTTGGTGCTGCTCCCAAAGCATCATAACTAAGAGCTGTTGATATTAATCACACTGTTGAAATGTTCAATTCAATTTTATTTATATAGCGCCAAATCACAACAAAAGTCACCTCAAGGCGCTTTGTATTGTACAGTAGATACAGAGAATGTTGCAAATGTTGTGGCTTTGTGATTCAGGGTCATGTGGGGTTCATGTTCAATACAGTGTGTAATGAATGTTTTTTAAAGTTGCTTTTTTGCCATCTTTAGACAAGAAAACATTATTAACTTTGGGAAAATTCAGGGTGCCAGTGCATGAATAAAAAACATGTTACTCACTGGTTTTGGTCTCTGCAAACTGAAGACTTTATTAAAGGCTGGATCTTCATCATGTTTATACCTTTGAGGCATTTTTTAACCAATTATCTGAGAAATACCACAGTTTATTTAGAGGTAGAGGCTGTCCACAGCTTTGGGGTGAGTGAATATTCACCATAGTATTATAGTATTAGCACGTAGCTGTGTCTGTGTACAGTTCATGGATGCAGCATGGTAATCAAGCTTTCTCAAGTTAGCTGAAAATTTAGTTAATATGTGGACATGTAGCACAGTGGCTACATGCATCTTTTGTATACAGTTGATTTATTGGACATATCGTGTACTGGGACGTGTTGAATATTTTTCTGGCACATTAAATATTAACATTGCGTGGGTAATATTTTGGGAACAAACAGCCTCTGTGCACAGAGACTCTCTAAATGTTTAAACTCTAGCTATGAGTATCTGCATATAGAAGACCTCTTTCTTCCTCTGAAACCTGAAACCAGACTGAGTCTAAACCTGCAATAACAGATGTGTTGTGCCATCTGATGTGAGCAGAAGCTGCAAAGCATCACTGAAACGTTTTAAGGCGATATAGTAAACTTCTTTATGACTGCTTTAGTTTTTGGTCTTTACAACGTTTTTTTGCACGGATATTAGAAAGAAAAGGTGTTAATGATGTCTGTGTGCTGTGTAGTGCTGGGGAGGTAGTCCAAGGTGAGTTTATTACTCTTTATTGGCTCCAATAACAATAAAGTTATGGTGCATTAAACCCAAACAGTGAGCTAAGTGAAGCAGCAGTCTCTATGGAACAACCCAGCTTAAACAAACACAGTTATCCTGTTCACGGGAGTAGAAACACTTTAGTGATTACCGTAAAAAGCCAAACACTGATTGTTGGGAATAAAGTGAACTGGCTGGTTGGGAGGGTGGGGGTGTGAAATATGTTTTACAGTGTAGTCTTCCTGGTAGTGGCCCAGATTTACCAGCAGAGACTGTAATAAAGGGACTTTCCCTTCACTGAGGCAGACAATGTGACAAACCTGTTCTTGCATGCAGGCACTGGAGAGAATACGGCGCTCTTCCCTGAGACAGGTGGAGATGACTCTGGCCATTACAGCAGGATTGGTGGCGTATTTCAGCTACAGTGACGCAAACAGAGAAAATTTCAGTTATAAAACCCCCTGAGAAAAAACCTTCGAACCAATGATTTCCTAATGATGTGATCATTTGTGTAAGTAGGCTATAAAACCAACCACAGCATGATCAATACTCCCACAGTGTCTGTTTATCTGTGAAGAAGAGATGAAAAGAAAATCCCTGACAGAGCGGAAGCCCTTTAGTTCAATAACAAAGGAATGAAGTTTAACTGGACACAAAACGAGCATTCTCCGTGAACAGCAGCCGAGTAAATAAAGTCAGATATTTGGAGCTCATCCAGGTTCGACTCTTTAAGGGCAAAGAATTTAACCACAACATTTAGTTAAATATTAGAGAACAGATTCGAGCGTGTGAGCCTCATTATAAACATGTAAAAGTTGCATAATCAAAATTGTAATGATGCAACTTGCACCATGAGATTAAAAAATAAAATAAAAGAAGCAACATTAAGACAAACCTTGTTAACCTTTAGCAAATAACCCTAACTGAGGATTATTGTCCACTAGAAACCTTAGATTTCTTAAGTAGGGATAGACTTCAGGGCTCAAATTATTATTTTTGTTTTAAATTGCATTCCCTATCTATGAGTGCCACATTTATTTATTTCTCCATTCAATCTATCCATCTACGTTCATTCACTCATTAGCATTTTCTCCTTTTCTTCAAAGATGTATTTATTTCATTATTTTCATAATACATTTCTTTTTTGCTTTTTTATGAGGCAAATCACAGAGTTATGCAATGACATTAATCATTAAAATAAGAAATTTAAAGTAAGTAAAACAGTAGAATCAATAGAAACATATATTGTATAAATAAATACCCACATTTATTGGTTTTAAAGTCGTTAATGGCCTTTTGTTTTTTTTTTTTTTTTTTGTATTTGCTAAATATTGATAAGTGGGATTATATATTTTGTTTCTGTGCCTTTAATGACATATTCTTTTTTGTGAATTCAGTATTCTAATAATGCCTTTAATGGTATATTCATTCATTTTTTTTTAAATCAACTTATTTTTGATTTTGGCAGTTTGGCGCCTCCATACATTCCTGCCAGATGCCTGTATCTTTAAATCTCTTTATTTTTAGACTATATATGGCTAATATATGCGGCAGAAGCCACAAACTTTCCGAAGCTGCATATCGGCCTCTACATACATTCAAATGCTCACTAAGAAAAGTACAAAAAACTTCTTCTGGAGGAAGAGGGAAAGTTTTTGTCTCGCCTTCAGGTGTGACTAATATTTCATCACTAAAACGACAGACTGAGGACGCACAAACGCACACACACACCTACACGCTCAGTCTTATGACAGCGGCAGTGATGCACTGGTATCCTTTCAGAGTTTGTACCGTTCACCAAGCTGACCTACATTATTCAGCAAAAATTCACTATAAATACTTTTCCTGCTGTTATGGGTACTTTACAGTCAAACCCAACACTCCTGACATTTTCCCTCAGCAAGCAGCGAAGGTCAGATTAAAAATGTGCGCCTACCACTGCGAGGGATTTCCCCTCGAAGAAAGACCCTGCGTGAACATGAATGGAAGAGAGATTCAAACACGAGCTAAAATCTCTCCTCTGTTACATGAACACATAACAACAACAACAACAAGCCACAAACACCGTCGACTATCGCACAGGAGTAGCTACTTCCTCTAAGAAGTGTTGACACATAACACATATACATATTCACAGGAAGCAGCGGTATGAGCCTCGAGGGTTCATTCTGCAAGAGGTATCTGTCTTTCTTCCAGAATAAAAGCGAGTGACGACCACAACCGAACTTCCTGAGGAGCTTCTCTGGCAGAATAGACATCCTCAAAGGGTTCATCGACAGAGAAAATAACTTAAAGCGTTTATAGACAACAATGAAAGAAAGGAATTCAATGTGCAAAAGCTCTTTACTGACTTCAATTGATTAAAACAGTAGCAGCAAAAACAGGAGCTGCAGCTTTCAGGCAGTACACAAACAGAAAGCTGCACATTTACAGCAATTCCCAACTCGTGAGCACGGCAATTATTTTACTTCCCTTTCACCTCAGGCACATGTACACACCATGAGACTACTTCTCCAAATTGAGGACGCTTTAATGACAACAGTTCAGGGAGTTCACGGCTGAACGTTTTCTCTCTGTTCAGTTTGTTTGAGGTGTGTGGATAAAAGTGCACAACAATAACAAGAAGCCACGGGCAGAGCAGCACTATAACCTACAAGTACTGAGCAAAGAATCCAACATGACCTCTTTTCTGAGCTGTACAAAGGAAACTCATGTAGAAACACCACAAATATCAACTTAAATGAGAATTAAAGCTGCTTAATCTGGACTGCCATAAATAAACTGCAGCTAATTACGAACTTTGCAAAATTCCCACAACTCCTGAATACTTTTAAGTCTGCAAAGTTCAGCTAGAAACTTCTTCTACATATTTGCATGCAGTTGAATCCATGCTCACAGTTGTGGCTTCAACAAAAAAAAAAACGAACAAAAAAAAGCCTTTTCTTCAAATGTAATCATGAGAAATGATTAACATGCATATACTTCCTCAAAAACATCCTAAAGCTCCACAGCCTGTGCTGAATCATGTGATTTATGTAAAACTATCAGACTGATCAGTATCATCAGATTTGCTTTAATCAGCACGACACAAACATGAGTCTGATTTTAGATGCTGTGGGGCTCTCTGCTAGCAGCTTGTATTCTTTAGGTCTGATCAGTTGTGCAGAGAGTATAGCTCTGTACACGTCACAGTCCATTCTGCTGCTTATATCAGAAGTGACATCATCAGTAAACATAAGTGACCCGTTCCTGCAGCCATAAATGCCCAGGCCCACACTACCTCCACCATGTTTAACAGATGTTATACGCTTCAAATCAGATTTCTCTCCTTCTCCAAACTTTTATCTTCCCTTCACTCTTGTAAGACTTTATCTTCTTTCAGGACTCCAGAATCCGGCCTGCCTTACCACAGACCTCACCTGGCCATTAAGTCATCAGTCAACTGTCCAATTACTTTTGAGACTCTAAAAATATAACGTGTGTATAAAAATAGCTGTATCTCCTACACAGCTAATACAGAAATTGTTAAACCCCTTGAATTAAAGCTAAACGTCTGCACTTCAGTCAGCTCTTAACTGTTTCATTCAAAGTAGTTATTTTTCAGTAGTTTTGAATTAATATTCATTTATATTTTTGGCAGTTTTAATCCACTATGGATAACAGTAATATTAATATTAAATAAGAAACTCAAATTTTTATTTTTGGCAGCCACCATAAATAATATTAACTAGATAAATCACTATTAATTGAATATCAGCATGTATTATTAATATTTTTTATTTATGTTAACTTTTTGTATTTTTGTCATTTGCAATCTTCCATATAAAAATACCAGTACCTAACTAACCAGCTTTTCCTCCATATGCGATTTGAAACCCATATCTTTGTCATCTTTCTGCCATCACCGTGGCATTCACTGCTGTGTAAACATGTATGTGATGCTTTAAAAGCACGTGTTGAGCTTTTATCTTTCCACATGATCACGTCGTAGTAAAAATCTCACCTGTTTCTTCTGTAATATGTGTCAATAAAACTGTGTGAGTAGAGCATACACACTTCCTCTATTTACACTACATCTGTCTGTCAAGGCTGCTTTCCAGTATGGGGCACATTAGGGTGACAGTTGTTTTTGTCATCTGTGGAGCACTCAGTAAGTGCATCATATGAAAAAACAAGCATGTAGCTTCTAGCCTGTCCTAGAAAACAGGAAGTCTAACAAATGTTTGTGTTACAAAGGCAGATCTGAAGTGCTGAGGTCTCGGCTGAGAAATTAGATGTCTGGGGGAGAGGTGGACTCACTTGCAGCTGCTGCTGGATTATTTTCATGTTGTGTCGTTGCAGAAAGTTCTGCTCCTGCGAGCGCACCCTCTCCAGCTGGGTCAGCAGGTTAGTGAAGAGCACGCCAGCCATCGACTCGTCGTTCACCGCGGTGTCCCTAAAAGTAGACAGAGTGACACATTCAGGAGATTCAGAGCAACAAAACCTGTGAAGAACAAAGAAGTTGCTTTACCACCTACCACAGGCCTTCAAGCTGGCAGTAGTTAAACCGTTACTTAAAAAGCCATCTTTTCCACATATCACTGTCTTAGCTAATTATAGGCCAATCTCCTACCTTCCTTTTATCTCTAAAATTCTTGAAAGAGTAGCTATCAAACAGTTAATAGATTGTTAAATCCAGAATCAAATCTAAAAATCTACTGCTACATACAAGGTCTTGAATAATCAGACCCCATCTTATCTTAATGACTTTAGAGTACCGTATCACTCCATGAGAGCCCTTCGCTCTTAGACTGCAGTCAGACCAATTGCAGATGGCTGCCCCTCCCTGTGCCTGGTTTTGCCAGAGTTTTCCTCCTCTTAAAAGGGAGTTTTTCCTTCCCACTGTTGCCAAAGCGCTTGCTCACAGAGGTGAGCAAGTTGTTGGTGTTTACTCTGCATTATTGTAGGGTCTTTACCTTACAATATAAAGTGCCATCGGGGAACTGCTGTTGTGATTTGTTACTATATAAATAAAACTGAATTGAATAGTTCCTTGCTCAAGAGTCAAAAATAAGTGTGATTTGGGAAGTTCTGACAATAGTGGTACTTTTGTCCATCCATCCATTTTCTTCCAATAAAGGGGTGGAAGACAATGGATAGGCTGCGCTCACCTGCAACCACCATGGACAGGTGCCAGTCTGTCATAGGGCTAACACAGAGAGACAGACAGCCATTTACACCTATGGGAAATCTAGAATCACCTGTTAACTTAACCCCACTAACTGTATGTCTGCGGACTGTGGTGTGGGAGGAAGTCAGAGTACCCAGACAGAACCCTCACAGACACGGGGAGAACATGTCATGCCCCAAAAAACCTTGTTTTTTCTCTTCTCATGCCGATAATGATGCCGCCACAGCTCTGTACCCTTCATTCCAGTACTTAGGGTGCGAATTCCCCTGCAGTATTCTCGTGAGCAATAGATGTCGCAATTGAGACAAAACTTCCACATTCGCACTGGTATTGTCTCTTCAACCCAGCAGAAGCACAATGGACCATTTTAAAGAAATCGACAGCTGCAGGACCGGCTGACACGACACCAACATGGTGGCTTGCTACAGCAGGTGTGACATCACTTAGGCGTACAGCGCCGTTCGCAAGGGGATGAATGGCGACATAACAGGATCCTTCTACTCCCAAGTTAAAAATCATAGACTGCATTTAAAAGATAAATGTAGCTACCATTACATAACCTATTTATTTCTGATATATGCATTTCTAGACTGAACTTAACCAATAATCTTTGAGGAGAAAAAGGTCTTTTAAGTTTTGAAAACAACAAGAAACATGTACCTTTTCTTTGTATAAGAAAAAAAAATAAGAAAACTATGAAAAATTATGTCTTCAATACATTTCTTGGACTTTTTAAATTTTATTTCTTGTGGAATAAAACTCAAAGGTTTGTAGCCTTATGTACATGTTATTTAGTGAAGGAATGGAAGAGCCTTCAGGCAGGTTCTCTCAGATCTGCCCAGCACCGTTGAAAAATGTACTTTAACTCAGACCACAATCATTCCTAAATCCTGCTGAAACCGAGAACTAAAAGCATCCATTTACTCTCCTTTTAGCTAAAAGCAAACACTCTGTGGGTGATAAATGATCACTGTTCTCGTTGATAAGGAAGAAGGTGCAGCTACAGCGGGTTTTTCACTGAAAAGAGCTTCCTGTAGGAAATGAGGTCTATGACGTGAAGTTGTGGGCTGTAAAACCAAGAAGTCATGGTTTTGATCAATCAGCTTCAACTGAACAAAAGTATAAACTCAGCGATTTGAACTCAGCTTTGTCAACATGTTTTTGATGCACAGGTGATCGTTTATGTTTGCACAAACTTTCACTGAGCTTCAGAAGACGTCTGGATCAAAACCTCCTGCTTTTCTGGATTTAAATTTAAAAAGCCTAGACCCATTAAAAATATAGATATCTATACACTTAAAATATTTGATAGACAATATTTCTGTCTTATTTTGCTTCAGAACTATTACATAGGATTATTTCCTTGAATTATTTATTCATCCATTTTAATTTCAAGTTACTCATTTCTAAATTATTATTTTTTCATCATTTTGCCTTACTCCATTTTTCCTCAAGTATTTTTCTTAAAGAATATTTATTTAGACATTTATGCTTTATTAAACAAATATAAACGGCTGACATTGTGAGTGTTTATGGAGGTGATTCTTTACTTGTTTGCCAGCATATTAACACCAGACTCATATCCTAAATATATTTTCATATACTTATTATTTGGTTATCTTTAGTCTTATGTACAAGGTTATTATAGTCGACTAAAACTAATATAAAATGAATAAAATAAATATTTGAGTTAACTGAAATAAAATAAAAATATGCATTTTATTAACTGAAGATGATAACTCCATGTGACTGAGTCATGGGTTTATTTTGTACTTACATTACAAAAAATAAAACTGATACTAAAACTAAACCATCCCCACCCTTTGGCAGCAAACTACAACTTAAGTTAAAGAACAAATAAAAACTCACTTATATAAACTGCTATATTACAATCATTACAAAGAAAGAAGAATGAAAAGACAGACATATTTGGTAAATAGTAAATAAATAGCTCACAATACTTTGATAAAAAAGAAAAACATTAATATTACATGTTGTGTACCTAATTGCATAATTATTTATGTACTAAGTCATTAATTTGTGTATTTAGTTAATGTTAATTTTGGCAGCTTCAGTCCTCCATACCATGTGGTCTTTCAGCCTATGAAGACAGCTGCCTTTTTTTGTAATACAGACTTTTTTTCCCCACACTTCTTTGCACATAGATGAAGACTCACCAGTCCTGAGACTCGATCCAGCTGGCCAGCCCCTGCCTGATGTCCATGGGGAAGTTATCGTCATACAGGTAATCCACCTGCTCCAGGAGTCTGATCTCCAGCTGTTGAATCTGCTTCCACTGGCTCATGATGCTGTGCCTTCGGACACCACGCGATGCACACACCCGTTATCACCAAAGAGTGCTCTAAAAACATGAATAACATGTTAAATATTATCTAAAATTACGGATTATTTATTGTATGTAATTATTTGATCGTTTAATGTCGCTTCTCCTCGTGTTTGTTACCTGAGATGTTTCCGCGCTGCCTTCCCGTCAGCTTTCATCTACCATGTGCACTTGTTTCCCTTGCGCTGACTTTCGTTTTTTATATGTGCCTCTCAGATCAGGAAGCGACCTCATTTCCCCTCAGTGGCTGTTCTCAGGTACTCAGAAGGCCCCTCCTCCTCCTGCCAATCACACACTCAGAATGATCCTAAACTTTTAGACAGGTAACAGGTGCAACTAGAAAAGTGATACTGTAAGGTTATATCAAGAAACAGACTAGGTTAGAGAAGTAGCTGAAATGAATGCATCATATTTATCTCAGCTGATTACATAAATCTTTAGATAGGTAATTAATGATCAAAAATTACTTTCAGCTAGATCACAAATTAATGATAAACAGTCTAAATGACCAACCAAACATAATGGATAAACCATTATGTGAAATCAGTGACTGTAAACAAACTTATATATAGTAATTTATGGAAGTTTGTTTGCACCAGTTTTGAGTTATGTATCTTAGAATTTCAAGTTAACAGATAGCAGAAAATATGGTATTTTTTTTATTTTTTTTAAATGGTGGAAACAAGCATCTATAGGCAATTGTTGAATTACACTAGCTAGATTAAATTATGAGTTAAAGGTCATAAATTATTTATGACTAGCTGATAAACTGCTTGCTAACAGTTTGCTAACATTAAACCATTATGTTGCTTTTGAAGCTAGCAGTTAAATTGGCATTATGACAAAGTATCAAATTAAATTAAATTACTAGAAATGTTGATAGGTTTTGTTAAAGTTATACCAAGTGTCTAACACTTTTAACTGACAGTTAAAATGGTTAGCTAAACGCAATGGGTGAACCATATACTGTAGCTAACTTTATCTATATTCTTAGGCAACATTTGACATTTATACCAATAATAAAATTATTTACAAACCTTTAAAAAAAAAAAATCAAACAGTTCAAAACACAATTAATGAGCCATAAAGTGTTGAAATGTGTTTTGATTTTGATTCTGCTGCAAAGGCAACTTTTTAAATACCTTGGTTAGTAGCTAAACTAACAAACTAAGAGTAACACAATCGATTAACACCTGTTATATTAATAGCTGAGACTGTTAACTAAATACAGTACATAAACCACAGAATGTATATCTTTAAATATATTGCTAACTTAAATCACAAATTAAAATATGTGTACTTTGCTAAAGATACAGTTAGCAGTTGTTCCTGTTAATTTTTCCATATTATGTACTGGGGTATATTTGTCAGGGGCAAAATCTTAGTACATTCATTTTTTAAAAAAAAATCAATTAACACTTATTTTATTTTCTGTCTTTACCTTAATAAGACATTTATTTTGTCACTCTCTACATTATTGGCTTACATACCATTTATTCACTTTATTCACTTTTAGTCACTTACAGTTATTTATTCACCTTTCAGTCACTTTAATTTTAAAACTGTGTAATTTTAAAACTGTATATTCTGTGTATTTATTATTTCACTCTTATTGCCTGTTCTTATTGTCCTTATCTTCATCGTTATGGTGCCTTGTTGTTTGTTAATTGCCCCTTGGGGATAAATAAAGTCTTCTGATTCTGTTTTTAATTTTCCAAATTCTTCCCTGATAAATAAAGTACATCTAATCTTACCTTATAACAAAAAAGCTTATGAAACGTAGAATGACTGATTAGGACAGAACTATACAAAAGAAGTGGCACATTTAAATAGAAAAGTTTAATAAAATTCTTGCTGAATAAAAATATCAATGTAAATACAATAAAGAGCAAATAAAAACTCTTACCATTAAATAAACATTTTGTGGTATGAGACTTTCTGCATATGTAACAAAATGTCAGAGGGTGGGGAACTTTTAAATACAATTAAAACATTATTTATTATTTATTAATTTGAAGTCATAAAAGTGTACCGTGTATTTCTTACTGTAGCCCTCCTATCCAGCAGGGGGCGCGTGTTAAACGGAGTGGTGCTGACCGAGTGAGGAGCAGCGCTCAGAGGTGAGAGTTCACTCCGGTAAAAACATGGTTGAACACGGGGATATCCGCGTGGTTCACTGCGGCGGCAGTAAAATAAACTTCAGGGATCCTGTGATAACCCACGACTCCAGGTGAGCGAGTGTTTTAACCTGCTGATGTTTCATATTTAGTGGAAAGGTCTCGCGCGGTTTGTGTCGTTTGTGTTAGCCTCAGAGCTGAGGCTGTTAGCATTAGCTTGAGAAGCTGCTGGATATTCCTGCTGCTGTTTACAGCATAGTATCAGCAGCTCGTCTCAGCTCCGTGACTTTGACTGAGCCACAGACCAAGACTGAGCTGTGTCCCGGTCCCTACATGTTTGTTTGATGTTTGTTTCCTCATATTTGTATCGCTGCAGGTTCCTTCTGTGCGCCTCCGGAGAGGCTGTGAAGGTGTTCAGCACCTCCACAGAGGAGTGTATCCACGAGCTGCGGGGTCACACCGGGCTGGTGACAGGTGTGCTGCTCAGACCCTCAAACCACTTACAGGTACAGTCACCTCTCCACCTAGAAAAACGACTTTTTTCAAGACGTCTTTATCCAGAAACTCGCTGATATTCATTTAATGTTAGAAAATACAGGAAACAGCAGAATAGCTGCTGAAGCCACTTTTTCTTTACGTGTAATTATTTATTATTTATTAAGTTTAGTTCAATCCCCCAGCTCTGATCAAACAAGAATCAGATCTCTTTTTATTTATTTATTTATTTACTTACTCATTATCCTCATTACTCACTCTGTTGGTTCAGGCCAGAAAGCAAAGTAAGTAAACTCTTGATTCTCTGTTCCTGAAAGAGCCCCAACTTAAACTCTGAGTCAGTTACGATTAGTGGTGCAACGGATCCAAAATCTCACGGTTCGGATCGGATCACGGTTTTAAGTCACGGATGGGATCAATTTTCGGCTCAGCAAAAAAAGACAAATTTAACTCGCCATTTACTTATTTAGGTATTTTTAGCCTATTAAAAAACATTCAACTCAAGACTCATTCCTCGCAGTTATATAAAAACAAATTAAGGTGCAATATAGGGCAGTGCAGGGCTTTGTATCTACCACTCCGTGGTAATATAATGAGCGGTCACAACGCTTTCTGTTGCCCTGGAGGTCCACCCATTAGGGCAACAGAAGATGCCTGGGACAGTTCAGGCATAACTTTAGACTTTTCCTGCGCATACATGCTTGGAACGATCTTATCACTGAAGTGGACGCGCAACGGGATACCATAGCATGGCTCAAGCACGTTCATCATAGTTTAAACCCCCTTGTTTTACACAACAGAATACGGCCTCACGTCTGCAGCTAAACACTCCAATAGCTTTTGTAATAGCTTTAGCCCGGACGGATTGGGCAGCAAATGGCGCAAACTCCTCTGCTCCTCCTGGACTGCTAGCACTGGCCATAACTATGGCTTGACAGACTGACCACGCGTACCATGCACATACTTTTTTTTCTTCTTTTTCGAGTCTTCGGATCACGTGTGTGCCGAACCGTGGAGTGGGATCGGTCCGGATTACGGATCAACGGTGATCCGTTGCACCACTAGTTACCATGGAAATGGAGCCTGGGAACCATTCCTGGTACCTGACTCCTTCCCTCCTGCTCCTCATACACTCACTGCTGCTTTATTAGGTACACCTTTGGACCACCTTTTGTCTTCAGAGCTACCTTACTTCAAGGCACAGATTCAAAAAGCTGCTGGAAACATGCCTCAGAGATTTTGGTCCATGTTGACACGATAACATACAGATGTGTCTCTTGCACATCCATGATGGAAATGGCCTGTTCCACCACACCCCTCAGGGATAACTCGGGGGTTCACTGAGCTAATGCTGATCAACATTTCTGGGTCCAAAAAGTTGGCTTTTAAGACTTTGAGTTTGTTAAACCTCCTTTTCAGCAGGACCCTATTTTTTTCCCTCATTTATTTTTTAATTGTTTTTATTCTCTGTACTTTTCTTTTTATTATTATTGTTTTTGGGGGGTTTTTGGTTTTTTTTATATATATATATATTTCTATATAAATACAGTTCATTGTTATGTCTCACACTGTGCTTGTGTTGTGCTGCAGGTTTACTCTTCATCACTAGATGGCACTCTCAGACTCTGGGACTTCACAGACGGGATTCTTATTAAGGTTGGACGTTGAGTCTTGTTGTTTCTCTCCAGTCTTTTCTGTCACTGTGGATCATCAAACTCCAGCTGCAACACACACTTTCCTATTTTATCTCTGTTTATAAAAGTGAAATGAAGGGTTTATTTATTATTAGGCAGCCCTCAAACAGTTAAAGTGAGCAGGGCACCTGTGATCAGTCTGCGAACATGCAGATGATGCAGATCCTGTTCATGATAATAAAGGAAATGTGTTCTATCTTCTGTGCTTTGACTGCATAACTGAATTTTCTTGAGCTAACAGAAGTTTTTTGCATTAGTTCTGAAACATTTCCTCTCGATGTCCTTGTGGGTGAATAATTTAATTAATTATATATATTTTTTTGTAAATGAACTCTCATGTAAAATGAATTGTTTCACCTTAAATTAGCTACAAAACATGGAAATTCAGCAGAAAAAGGAGTAGAGGTGTTTATGATGAGGTTTGTGGGTCCAGTTTAAGAGCCCATGTTTCCAAGATGCATGACAGCTGTGCGGTCTCTTCTAGACTTGTGTCATTGGATACCCAATCTACTCCTTCTACGCCTCTGCCAAACATGAAAACGTCATCTTTATTGTTGCATCCATGCCGAGTGACAAAAGAGCGGGTAAGTGTGACATCAGAGCGCCATTCAGACTCCATTTGTGAAGTAAAGTTTCTAGAACTCAGTGTGAATCTGTTACACCACCGTCTGAGGGGTAAAGGAAGAGTCCCCAAACAAGGTTTATTAATAAAGTGTGATATTTATTTAATCGCAGGCTACTGCAGGGTGACCCAAGGGGGAAAATAGCAGAGTGATGCTTCTCAGGGCAAGAAGTCAAATATTAAGAAAAAACTAGCCAGGCAGATGCCTGTATGTGTCATACCTCTTCATGTTGAATGTTATTGCTTGTTTTGGAATAGTTTTAATGTGTTGGAGTCACCAGGTCG